CCTTGGATCCTTGGAGATGAACTGTTCTTGGTGTGGGCACAGGCTCACTCAGCCTGAATGTTAACCTCTATCAATACTGAGGAGGTTCCCCAGCTGGCATTTCTGTCTGTGGACACGACATGCTGCCAGGACAGGCGCAAGTCCATTCTCTGCCCTCCTGCCTACATCGCACACACACTCACATATGCGCGCTCACACTCATACATCCCCCAGACTGAAGTGCCAAAAGCTTCATTTCACAGCCACTCTGTTTCATCTCAGGTTGTGACCAAGCTCCCTGGGCAGTGATCAAGAGAGAGCAGTGACTTAAAATAAAGCCAGAGAAGTAGAAACACACAACATAATAGGCAACCGTGAAACCTTGGAACTAAAGCCAGTAGCCTCTTTAAAAAAACTTTCTTTTTGCAATAATTTTTAACTTGCAGAAAAATTGCAGAAATAGTATAAATAATATCTTTATGCTTGGAGTCATCATTGGCTACAAGTTTGCCATGTTATTCCAAATCATTTGAGAGTAGGTTGTAAACATGATGCCTAAAAACACGATGTCCTAAAAAATACAAGGGTCTGCTGAAAAATCAAAGCACACACTCCCCTGCCATGGAATCAGCAGCACCAGGGCACCGCCATCAGACCCGCAGACTCCATTCAACATTCCTCATGGACCCAACGATATCCCTTACAGCCGTCCTCTCCTTCTCAGTCCAGAATCCAATCCGTGGTCACCTAGTGTGTTTAATTTTCATGTCTCTGTCGACACCTTCAGTTGCTCACTGTTTCCTTGTCTTCTCTTACTTGACATTTGAAAAGTGCAGATGTGCTACTTTGTTGGATGACCTTCAGTTTGCGGTTGGCTGATATGTCCTCAAGATAACATTCAGGTTATTACATTATTGGCAGGAATGACACAGAAGTAATGCTCTGTTCGTTCTCACTGGTCATATCAGGGGCCAACCATTGTTCCATTGCTCGTGATATTGACTTTACCACTTGATTAAGATGACTAATTATGAAGTATTCTGTACTTAATACGTAACTAAAAAGTACTTAAACGATTACTTAAAAAATTTTTATTGTATTTTTTCCTTTACCATTTAGTCCTCTTACCCGCTCCTGACCACAGTCCCCACACTGTCGTCCGTGTCCATGAGTCCTGTTTCCTTTTTGCTCACTCCCTCCACCCCCTAAAGCTCCCCACCACCCTTAGCTGCCATCCTGCTCACTGTCTATGAGTCTGTCTCTATTTTTCTTGTTAGTTCAGTTTGTTCATTAGATTCCACATAAGAGTGAAATCCTGCTATTTGTATTTCTCTGACTGGTTTATTTCACTTAATGTTTTTAATGTTCACATAATGTTCTCCAGGTCTATCCATACTGTTGCAAAGGATAAAATTTTCTTCTTTTTTATGGCCAAGTAGTAATCCATCATGTAAATGTGCCATAGTTGTCTTACCCACTCACCTACTGATGGACACTTGGGCCGCTTCTATATCTTGGTGACTGTAAATAATACTGCAGTGAACATAGGGATGCTTATGTTCTTTCAAATTAGTGTTCTGGGTTCTTTAACATATGTTCCCAGAAGTGGGATCATTGGGTCAAAAGGCAGGTCCATTTTAAATTTTTCGATGAAACTCCATGCTGTTCTTCACAGTGACTACACCGGCCTGCACTCCCACCAACAGTGCAAAAGGATTCCCCTTTTCCACATCCTCACCAGCACTTGATTACTTTTAAATTAATTAAAAATATTTAAATCTATGCAAATCCTGTCTCTCATCAAACTTGTCAGATGCTCCCAGTGATGATTCTCATCTGAAGCAATTATTACTATGAAAGCTACCACGTGGTCATTTTCTAGTTTAATTCCTTCTACATGTGTGTGTTGGTGTTCTGTCACATGGTAGGACTTGTCCTTCCCCCAAGACTTGTAGATGAGGCCCAAGTTAAGCCCACAGTTTGGGTTAATTCATGGTCAAGACTTTCTCTGGTTCTAATGGATGTTCAGCAACATGTTCATGAGTGTAACTAAGGTCTTTTTTGTCCCAGACTGGAGGTGCCATTTTCATTTCACATTGAAACTTTCTGAGGCTTGACCCACTCTATGGGAATTTAGCAGAGAAAACACATTGCAGAGTAAAATCTGTTCAGAGTCCTGAGTGTTTCTTCAGGGAGTTCATCTGTGTCCATCAGGACCCAGGGCAGCAGACGCCACTTAGCAGTGAGAAACAGTTCTATACACCCAGTGGCCTGAGGGAAATGAATTCTGGTGCGTTCTTGTTGCCAAAGTTTCCAATCAGCTGTGAGACGGGTCACATATATCTAATCCTGTGAAGCTCGGAGGAGGAGTTCCAGGGAAGAGTTTGACTTCCTGACACTGGATTGTTTCCAGACTTTCTTGTTCTAGGGATTCTTCTGACTCAATGATGACCACCTTTCTGGTGACTTGGGACTGGAGCAGATGTTTATTGCTAATATCTAAGAGGCCAATTGCTTTTTGTTCATTTGTTTGTTTCTGTAGTTGGTGGCTGCAGGGCCTGGCTTTCATGGGCTGTCAAACGTCACTTCAACCTATGCTGCCCCAAGATGGTCACTTTGATAGGGCTTTGGCTGGCATATTCATTCAAGATCCATCGTGCTTAGGCAGCTTGAAATGCAATGTAAGAAGTGTTCTTGATGGATGTCATATAAAAAGTTTTCTTTATAGATGTCACATTAAGAAATTATTGTTGAATTTATTTGCGTATGATGATAGAATTAGAATATATACATATATTTTAAATGTTCTCCTTGTTTAGTATACCGGTAAAATGTTTATAGATAAAATGACATGACGTCTTAGACTTGTTAAAATAATATGGATGTAGGGGAAGAAGAAGGAGGAGACAGAAAAGGAGGAGGAGGGGGAAAAGAAGGAGAAGGAGAAGAAGAAAAAGAGCAGAAACAGATTGGGTACAAGATGAAAATTATTTGAAATAATTAATGGAGTCATTATAGTATCACAAAAATTAAGGTGAAATAGAGAAAATTTTAGGTAAAAGGAAACTGACAAAATTTGTTATCAGAACACCTGCAGTAAGAAATGCTAAAGAGAGTCCTTCAGGATAAGAAAATTGATACCAGGTGGAAACTGAGATTTATAAGCAGGAATGAAGAGCACAGGGAATGGTAAATAGGTGGGAAAATGCAAAATATTTAAGTTATTTAAATACATATGACTGTTAAAACAAAAACAATGTATTGTGGGATTTATAAGTAGATGCAATATATATGCCCACAAAAGCACAAAGAATAGTGAGAAGTATGCTGTTGCACTGTTTTTTAAATTTTACATTAATATTAACTCTAAGTAGACTATGAAAAGTTAAAGATGCATACATATCACACTTCCTACAACAATTTAAAAGTGTAATTAATGAAATAGTCTAAAAACCAGTAAAGGAATTAAAATGAAATACAAAAAATTTATTAACTCAAACCAAGGCAGAAGAGGAGAAATGAAGTTTTATAGAACAGATGGAACAACCAAACAACAAACAAAATTAAAACTTTCATTCAACCATATCAATAATTAAGTATAAGGGACTAAACCATCAAATAAAGGGATGGTGGTCAAATGAGCTAAAAATAACAGTAAGATCTGTGTCGTGACTAAGAGGGATACACTTTATTTTATTTTTTATTTTTTGGACTTAATTAATTAATTAATTAATTTATTTTTCAAATACATTTGTCTCTGCCTTGCCCCCACCACTTTCCCCTGCCCCCTCCCCCCTCCCTCCCTCAATCCTTCCCCTTTGGTTTTGTCCACAAGACCTTGCTACACATTCCGACCCTCCCCTTCCCTTCCTTTTCCCGTCCCCCCTCCCTCCATCCCTCTTGTCTCTGTTCATTTCTTTTCACTTTAAATGTAAAGGAACTGATTGGCTAGAAGTAAAAGGATAACAAAGATACAATGTGCAAATAGTAAGCACATGAAAGGTTTTCTTTGAAGATAGTAATAAAATTGATAACCTCTTAGGAAGGATAACCAAGGGAAAAAAAGAGGGAAAACACAAATTATCCAATAGTAGAAATGAAGAAGGAGCTATTGCTATAAATCTCATAAACATTAACAAGGTAATAAAAGAAAATTATCAATAATTTTATAGTCATAAATTCAACAATTTAAATAGTTGTTTTGTAGATTCCATAGTTGTTTGTAATTCCTGTTTTGTAAATGCTATGTACATGGCACATGCATTGAGACAGATTTGGTGCTTCCTTTCCAATATGTATGTCATTTTTTTTTTTGTCTTGTTGAACTGGCTAGGATGACCAGTGTATGTTAAATTGAAGTTGTGAAAGTGGGCACTCTTTTTTTCCTGATGGCAGGGGGAAGGCATTTAGTATTTCACCATTAAGTGTGATTTAGCCAGATGTTTTCATTCTAATTGCATTGGGAAGCCATTGTAAATTTTTACTTGTATACGTGACATCATCTAATTTACACTTTAAAAAAAACCACTCAGGCTGTTGTGTAGAGAATGGGCTTTAGGAAGAGGAGAGTGGAAGCAGTGAGACAATCAGAAGGCTGTGGCAACAGGGCAGGGGAAGGTGGAGGTGCCGCAGGCCAGCGAGGTGCAGTGGAGGTAAAGCGAAGTGGTTGGATTTGGGGCTATATTTTGGAGGTAGAGCTGACAGGCCTTACTCATTTATTCAATTTGGGGTGAGGGAAATAGGAGAAAGAAACTTCAGATTTATAGTTTAAATAACTAAGTCTGTTTCAGATTTTTTCCTGTGGATTTTAGATTATTTTTGTTATTCATCTTCTTTGGAATGGATCATTGAAAGTGGACAGAGTATTTTTTTAAAAGAATATAGCTCTCGTTATTTAGGATTTAATTATTTTTTTACAGGTAAAGCATTAGAGAAAGAATAATGACTAATATTTATACTGGATTTTTAGCCAATTTTAAAAATTAGTGTTCTGAATTAAATTTCTGTATCTTTCTTCCTAGGTTTTTCCACGACCACTTTTCAGAAAGGATGCAAGTGACCAAAGTGGATTTCTCTACAGTGTTACCACGCTTCATTTCTCTCTATATCTTTTCCTTTCTGAATCCGAAAGATTTGTGTGCTGCTGCGCAAGTCAGCTGGCCCTGGAAGTTTTTAACTGAACAGGTTTACTACTTGTCACTTCCTAGTAATAGGGCCCAAATACAACAGTAATGTGCTATGAGGTTACCAGGGTAACTTTCTTCCCTAAAGATAACTGCAGGTCTCTGAACCATAATTAACTTACCCTTAAAAAAATGGAGATAAGTTAGAGTAATTTATTCTGTAAGTAAGGGGGTATACACTATTCTAATAATTCATGTAATTTTAATAATTTTTAAATACTCAATTATTTAGAAAATACTTTATCTTGGCTGAAGGAGTCCATTCTTTCATTAACAGTTATGTAAACTTTTGTTTTTATATACTATTATTTTATCCATGATAAATCACCTTGAAAATTGCTGTGCAGCCACAATTTCAACTGATCTCTCTTCGGCTACTATCTGTTGAAGAAGGGAAGTCTGGCTCTTCAATACCCTCTGCCATTAATTCTGCCTCTTCCCTATTTGTCTCTTCATTTCCTTTTAAAAGATGGAATCAAATGTAATGGTAGACATAATTTAAAAACAAGCCAATAATTTACTTCTTTAACCTGTGTGCAGTGTCTAGGGCGGGCTTGTGCAGAGATTCCGATCTCAGAGTCTGCCTCGCTCTCTGCGATGGGCCCACGTGCAAAAGCCACCTGTGAGCTCTGAGTTTATTGCTATAAAAAATCCAGGCTTAGTGTTTGCACAGTATATTGTTTTCTGTCTTTCTACTTTCAAACTTTCTATGTCCTTATATTTTAAAAATATGTCATAAAAAGAATACAGTGGTGGTGGTTGTTTTCTAACATTTAGCAGTCTTTGCCTTTTACCTGGGGTAATTTGGTCTGTTTACATTTATGTAGATTCTGATGTATTTGAGCTAAATTTCTCATTTTACTATTTATTTTTTGTTTGTTCCCTGTGTTTTGTATTTTGTTTCTCTGTCTTCTCTCAGAGTACTTAAATATTTATTTATCAATATTTTTTATTGTTAGTGATGAATTCTTTAGAAGTTCTTTCGTGGCTACCAGAGATTACAGCACTCATCCTAGGGTTATTTTTACTACTTAGAAGGTAATGCAAAAATCTCTGACTTCATCCCCTTTGCCCCCTTGATTCGATGCTTTTGCCTGATTTTTTTAAAAGATTTTATTTATTTTTAGAGAGAGAGGAAGGGAGAGAAACGTCAATTGGTTGCCTTTCTCATGCCCCCAACCGGGTACCTGGCCCACAACCAGGTACCTGGCCCACAACTCAAGCACGTGCCCTGACTGAGAATCAAACCAGCAACCTTCTAGTTCTCAGGCTGGCACTCAATCCACTGAGTCATACCAGCCAGGCTCATATATTTTAATGTTATATAAAATTGTATATATGTAAGTATATATAAAATTTGCAAACATTTAAACATATGAAGTTCACAAGGCTTTATTATTATTATTTTTTAAATTATTATGTTTAAATTGCAGTTTACATTCAATATTATTCTGAATCAGTTTCAGGTGTACAGCATAGTTGGTTAGACAATCATGTACTTTACAGAGTGGCCCCCCCAATGATTCTAGTGCCCATCTGGCACTATACATAATTACAATATTATTGGCCAATATTCCTTAGGCTGTAATTTACATTTCTGTGACTATCCTGTGACTACCAATTTGTATTTCTTAATCCCTTCACCTTTTTCACCCAGCTCCCAACTTCCCATATTACTATTATTTTATACAGTCAATATTTATTTATAAATAACAACATATTTATCTGTTGTTCTTCATATCTTCCTGCATTCTGAGTTTCCATTTGGGATCATTTTCCTTCTGAATTCTCTTTAATATTTCTTTTCATGCAACTTGCTGCTGACAAACTCTCTTAGTCTTTATCTAAAAATGTCTTTATTTCATCTCCTTATTAAAGGCTATTGTCACTGGAAATTTGAACTCTAGGTAGGGAGTTAATTCTTTATAGTACTTTGAAAATTTTTTATTGTTCTCTGGCTTCCATGACTATCTGTTGAGAAGTAGAAACTTTTATTGTTGTTCCTTTAAAGGTAATATTTCTATTTTCTCTAGCTCATGTTACGATGTTTTTCTCTCTTTTGTGTAATTTTATCGTGCTGTACCTAGCAGGTGTGTGTGTGTTTGTGTATTTATCCTGTTTTGTGTTTTGCAGTGATTTTTAAATCTGAGGTTTAATGTCCTTTATACATTTTGAAAAGTTCTCAGTTGCTGTCTCTTTATATATTGCTTATCTTTTTCTTTGTGGGATTTGAATGCTTAGCTTGGACGGATCCACCACATTCCATGTTTCCTGTACTCTCATACGTCTTTCCCATATCCTTTTAGCTGTCAGTGTTTCAGTCTGGACTTCTAGCCTGTCTTTCAGTTCACTACTTACCTCTTTAGCAGGATTCTAATTTGCTCTTAAGTCCATTGAGTTAAAAATTTCAGTTATCATATTTTTCAATTCTAGGATGTTGACTTGATTATTTTGCCAAAATTTCCACCTAGTCATTTAATTTCGTAGGCATATTAATTACAGATTTTTTTTAAAGCTCATGTCTGATAATTACAACATCTGGATCTCCCGAGGGTCTCGCTCTGCTTACTCAAAGACAAAAGAAGAAACAAATAATTGTCTTTTTGTGTGCTTGGTATTTTTGATTGAGTACCAGATGTTACGTGCAAGAAGTTAATGTGATAATTTGAGTCTCTGGATGATATTATCTGCCTCCAGAAAGAATTTGCTTTTGGTTCTGGTGTTTGTTTCAGCTAGAAATAGATGCCTTAAATCTAATCAGGGGCTGAGATATTTCAAAGCTAGCTTCAGTCCTGGTGAGAGTTTACCCAATTCCTCATCATCCTTACTGAAAAGGGTCTCACTTGAAAGCCCGGAGTGGTTACCAGGGTTCTTCCCTTTAGCAGGACCCACGTTTAAGTTTGCTCCCTCCCTTCCCTGTGAGAATGCCTAAAAGCCTTTACAGCTTGTAAGACTTTCCCTTCTAACTTTCTGCTCGGCTTCTCAGCCTAAACTCGCCTCTGGAACCGTCATCTTCCCTGGTGCGGAAGTGGTGCTGACACTCGGGCCCTCCTCTGGGAGTCCCTTCTTTCCGGGGTGCTGGCTGCGCAGGTCCTTATTGCACTGGTAGCTCACAGCGTCTGCAGACAGTTGTGTAGTATTCTGTCTGGATATTTAATTTGATTAAACTGCATCAAAGTTGCTCTTTTCATATCTCAAAACTGGTTGCCTATTGGCAATATCATATGTTTCAATCAAAGCGGCTCTGAGTGGGAGGACTGGTCTGAAACAAACAACTACACCATTGCTAGAAGCCGAAGTCTCAGACTCTAGGGTTAAAGTAAACCAAATGCTGTGGGAGCACTAGATGTGAATACAAAGATGGCTAATACATTTGTATATAACATACATGTTCATCAAAGAATAGTTTTTCTGTGGAGTAAGGAATGCTTCTCATTATTCAGAGTTAACTTTAGATAGCAAGTCAACTGCACTAAAACTCTTAAAGTACTTAAAAAATGGTCTGTGTACCTGAAAGCATTATTACTAGGAAACTGACCGTTACAAACCTCGCAGCTCCTCTTTCTTCTTCCTTCCTCTGAAGGATTGCTTATGGATGCCCAAGTGCGTCAGGTTTGGCTGGTTCCTGCCCTACACGCCAACGGAGCATGAGTATGGTGCTTGGAAGCACCATTACATTGCTTGCGTGTCCAACTTAGACTGGCTGACGCCTAGGGAAGCCGCTGCTCTTTATGGGACCCTGAATGAACCCAAAACAGAAGATGAGGAGCTACAGGAGAGACAAAGGGAAAAGTGCCTAAGGAAAATAATTTGGGAGAAAATTGCTCTGCATAAGAGTGAGTTGCATTTTAAAAGTTCTTATCTTAACCAAGCCGTGTAGAAACCAATGGATTGACCTACAAATTCCCACAGAGGAGGGTAGTGTTGTCTCTGGAATAGCATATGGGTGGCAATCCCTGAAGTACTCGTGTGTTCAGGATAAGCTCTTTTTTTCCTTCACAGTATACTTCCAGTTAATTAATAAGCAAAAAAGATTTCAGATGAACTATATAAGGTCAAATATCAGTGCCTCCATTGCTGTCCTAGTTTTTCTCAAAGTTATAAGACCAAAGATAAGGAGGAGAAAAGTATGAACACAAGGCAAAAACAAAGACATAGCTTCAGGATAATTCAGAGGACTTGGGGTTGGTGAAAAAGGAGGAGAAATGAAAATGAGAACAAAAGCAGGAAGAATGGCATTTTTTAAAAGGTGGAAGGGGAGTGGGGACAAGACACACTTTCAGCTAAGCTTTTTGATTTGTGTGTAATGGTAATTGACAAAGTTGATTTGAGTTTTTTGGTGTGTTTTTTTTTTTTTTTTTTTTTTTGGTACTGACTTCCCCTCTGTGAGATCATAACAAAGGGAAATTACTTGGAGCCAAGAAAGGGCCCGAAATGGATGGGGAGCCTATAAATTAACTGGTTTCCACAAGAAAAGAGTCGCTTGTTCTCTGAGCTTTGTTTCTTGACCTGAAATGACTGGAAACTCGCAGCCACAGTGCGGACAGAATGAGACACACAAATAGGCTGTGAGAGTGGCCGTAACGATTGCCATTTGGAGTACTGCCCTGGTGCAGCCTCAGTTTTGATGCCTTTCATCTATGGGGACTTGGCTGGGAGAAGCATGCGGTAAACAGCCCAGCGGCCGCTGTTTGTTTTCCAGAGGCGTTATTCCGAGCCCGACCCCCGTGGGTGAGTGGAACATGCTGCTCTAGAATGTTCAAATCCCAATGCCAACCACGTCTGTCCCGGACTGTGAGGGATCGAGTGGGATTACCTGAAGCTTTGGAGAAACAGCTTGTTTTGGCATCCTTAGAAGCTTTGCCCAAGCGGTAAGCAAACCTCCATCTCCTGGAGGCTCAGGACCATCCCCTGATACCAAGAATTTATTCTAGAATAATTTAGTTACCATATAGGATCTCATAATTACATGGCTCTTATCCTTGGATAGAGCAAGAACAGTGGTCTTTAGCATGCTTCCGGAGGAGAGAAATATGTAACATTCAAAATGTACAGTTCAAATATTCTTAAACCTGCAAGGAGGCCATATTTTGGATGCAGTATATTTTCTGTATAAAGTCATTGAGCAAAAATATCATTTTTTTCAGAAATGTTTTCGGGTGTAAGCATATCCACATGATAATGTGGGGGTGGGGGTGACCGTGGGGAGAATGGAGACGTTACTCAGAAAACCGTGAGGCCTGGAGGGTTAAGGAAATTTAAAATCTCTCCACTGCCCCTTTTCAAAATGTTGTTTCGAACCCCTAAGTATACCACTACTTTCATTTTAAGTGTCCCACAAAAGCTAAGTTCCAAGAGAACTTTCTGGCATCCCACAGATAGAGCAAGAGAGGACTTGAGAGCAGCTTTGCCCCCAACCCACCAGGAAGACCCATTTGCCTTTGTCCCCAGCTGCAGGGAGGGACTGAGGTACGGAGGCCACCTGCCTTGTATATCATATGTGACTGATGGACACAGAGAACATATAATCAATGTCAAATTAAGAGAAAATGAGAACTTCACTTATTTCTCCCTTTTTCCCTATAGAAGTAATGTTTCTGGAAGACATTCCTACCCTTTATTATCAAAGAAAAACTGGCATGGAGTTTTTAAAAATGATGACAGCCCTTCACATACTTCCCAGCCACACTTCATATTAATATCATCTCAGATTCCTGCGTATGAGGTACAGAGTGTGTTCCAAGACCAGGCCTTTCTGAATCAAGTGTTTTCATTGACGCTACAGATTGTATGACAATCTTTTGGCCACCATATGTATGAAAATGATCCCTCTCCTAAAAGAGTCCTATCTAAGTGGAAGTTTACAAACACAAAACAGTTTTAAAAAGGAGAACCAATAAAGATAACCGTAAATCAAAATTAGAGACAGGCTCATAGAGAGTTGGCCGATAACTTTGAGGGGGTGGGGGGTTGAAGGGACTGAGCAAAAAAGAAAAAAAGAAAAAACTCAAGGACACGGACAATAAAGTGTGGTGGTTGCTGAGGACGAGGGGGTGGAGGAGGGTATTGGGGGTAAATGGGGACGGACAGAGACTTGATTTGGGGTCGTGAACCCACAATAATATACAGACAACGTGTTGTAGAATTGTGCACCTGACACCTGTGTAATTTTGTTAACGAGTGTCACCCCAATAAACTCAATAAAAAGGAAAAGAAAGAACTAAAAAATGGCAACTTATATTTTCTTCCACTCAATTTCTGTACAGTTTTGTTGTCAGGGATAATTTAGAAATTCCTACAATTTTAATTTGGTGGTTAGGATGTATGAAGTGAATTAAAGCATGGCTGTTCTTTGATTGCAGAACATTAATTTAGTTCTTTAGTGTCTTCTCCAGTGTGAATAGCACTCAACTGAGTTCTTTCGGTATAGAAAATACCTGTTAAGCATCTGAGATTTATTAATTGTTGTGTCCTAGAAATCAAAGCACTATTTAATAAGTCTCTTCTAATAGAAAAGTTTATTAGATGGATCACTTCATGTAAAGTCATTAATTTAAATTAAACCATTAAAAATCTCTAGTGATCCAGCTGATGGAAATATTCAACAGAGATTTATGAGTGAGTATACATGTACCTGTTAAAAATTGCTACAAAATATTTGCTCACTGAAAATATGTTGCTTCTAAAAAGAGTACTAATATGTAATTACTGAAAGTAACATAACTTTATGAAAATAACAAAAGAATTACTAACTAGTTATTCTTAAGATTCTCTAATTATAAAATGTATGGTTTAATTTGTTGTCTATTTAAAAATTAAAATGAAAATTTTAAAGAAACAAAAAAGTAAAAATAAAGCATTAAAGGCCTGAACTGCCTATATTTAGTAGGTATCCAAAAAATACTTACTGAATTGAATTTGTTGCACTTAATCCACAAAAGAACAAGGTGATTACAGATTATTTTAAAACTTCTTTGGAATGCCAGAGGAATTTAATAATATGTACCCACCATCTCTCAAAAGAATAATGTTCAGAAATCCTATTTTGTGATCTGTATAATTAAGGTGTCATTAAATTAAAATATACTCTTTCTATAATGAATTCATATATTTTAATTTTGATATGAATAAGAAAAATAAAGGAAGTACATATATACATTAATACACACATAGGGACATATGTAAACAATAACATTTAGTAGTTTATATTCATTAGCCTACTTAAAGTTTTCCCCCAAAATTCCTATTTGCAACAAAATTTTTAAAAAATTATTTGAGAGAGAGGGGAAGTGAGGGAGAGAGACAGAGAGAAACACTGATCAGTTGCCTCTCGTATGTTCCCCGAATCAAACAGGCAACCTTTTGGTCTGTGGCATGATGCCCAATCAACTGAGCCACACCAGCTGGGGCCAAAATGTTTACTTTTAAGATATGAAATCACTTCTATTCCTGGGCATCTAGGAATTGACCTTGACCACTTACCATGGCTAACTTAACGAGTCCATATCAAAGAGAGATCAGAGTTTTGATATTTATATGGGCCACAGTTTTCCTAATGTTTAAAAATTCATTGTGCTGGGCACAGAGGGTTACTGGTGACAGAGTACAGGTGAATAAACTGACATAAAATAAGCCCATTCTCCTATTTGTCTTCTTTATATAACACTATGTCATAACTACTTGATTATGAACATGATGTGAGGGGTAGGTAAAAAGTAGGGTGTAACCATATTGCAGTTCTCCTGTTGAACTGTGACCTCTGGAAGGTGGCATGAAGTTTTGTGAAAAATTAATGACTTCAATGACTTTCTGACCTGTCTGCTGCTAATCGATTAACTTTATCACAATGAAGTTTATTTGGTTGTTGAATTCAAATAAACTTCAAATTTTTTATTTAAGTGAGAAATTTTTATCAACATTTATAATTCAAAAACTCCTAAGTTTTTGAGAAGGAAACTAAATCTATTTAAGAAGTCTATTGCAAAATTCAATGATCTCAATTTTATTATTCTTTAAAAGCTGTATGTATGTCTCTGTGTATGAGTGGAAGGAAATACCCTAACTTGTTAAGAGAATTTATCCCTGAGGGATGTACACACAAATGTATATCGTTTTCTTCTCTTATAATTAGAAAAGAAATAATTTTTTTAAAAGTCCAGTGAAGGAGAAAGGTCATGTTTCTCTGTCCATAATTTCTGGAAAAAAAATAGTCTTTCCAAATCAGATTACATATTCATTAAATTTCTTTTATTAATAAATAGTCTCAAGCGATAGGCTTGGGCTCCCGCAGCTTTGGCTTCATTTTCTAGATGGTGGTGGACAGCGTCAGGGCAGGTGTCCTCTCTGTGCTGTACGAACACAGCGGCGTGACCTTGGAGAGCCTGCTTTACCTCATAGACAAAGCTCTGGGTGGGCAGAAGGCACAGAGTATCGGAATATTTAGCAACGGAGACAGCAGAGAAATCAATTTACTCCAAGGTAAGATGGGATTGGAAAGAACAACCAACTCTGCCCTGATGCAATGTTGGTACGCATATATGACCTTCCGAGTGCTGTCTAAGTTCCCCTTTGTTAAGGAGGTTGACAACCCAGCTCAGAGTAACCAGGCAGCAACAGTTCTGCTCAGGCTTCCACCAGTTTAATGAGGCCAGCCGGCAGCAGAGAATGGGCTTTGCTCAGCCTACCTATTTAAATGTTAATGTCAGCCCAAAACACCCTCACAGACGCACCTAGACTGATGCCTGACCAAATCTCTAGGCCCCCGGTAAAACACCACATAATTAACCATCACATCATTAAACAATAACTTCCTTTTCCCCATCTCCCAAGATCCTAGGAGTTACTATTCTACTTTCTGCTCCTATGAATGTGACTAATTTAGATATCTCATAGAACTGGAATCATGCAGTGTTTGATTTTTGTGACTGGCCTATTTCATTTCACGTAATATCTTCAAGGTTCATCTATACTGTAGTACGGAACATGATTTTCTACCTTTTTTAAGGCTGAATAATTTTCTACTGTGCATATATATCACATTTTCTTCATTCATTGATGGACATTTGGGTTGCTTCCACCCTTTGGCTATTGTGAATTATGTTGTTATGAATATAAGTATGCAAATATATCTTTGAGATCCTGCTTTTAATTCCTTTGGATATATACTCAGAGGTAGATTTGCTGGATTATATGGTAGTTCTGTTTTTAATGTTTTGAGAAAAGGCCCTACTGCATTTTTGATGGTGGCTGCACCATTTCACAATCCCACCAACAGTGTGCAAGGGTTCCAGTGTGTTTTGATCTCATCAACACTTGTTATTTTCTGGATTATTTCTTCAACAGCAGCCATCCTAATGGGTATGAGGTGATATTTATTATGGCTTTGATTTTTTTCTGATTATTAGTGATGTTGAGCATCTTTTTATATGCTTGTTGGCCATTTGTATATCTTCTTTAGAAAAATGTCTATTCAAGTCGTTTGCCCATTTTTTAATTGGGTTATTTGATTTTGTTATTGAGTTGTAGGCATTCTTTATATAGTCTGAATATTAACCCCTTCTCAGATATATGATTTGCAAATATTTTCTCCTTTTCTGAATGTTGCCTTTTAGTCTGTTATGTCCTTTGATGCACAAACATTTTAAGTTTGATGAAAGTTGAGCAGTTTTAATAGTAGCAAACCAAGATCTATACACTGGCGTGCACTAACAACACTCATTATACTTCCAAATGACTGTACCACAAAGGAAAGGCATGGCTCACATCGTTAACATGTTATGGGCCATCTTTTAATCTTTTTTGGGAGGGAAAGAGATGGTGAATGTTTTAGAAATAAACTTTTAGTTTCTATTCTTTCTCATATTATAACTTGCATCCTTCCTAGCTTATACCTAAAATAAAATTGTTTTAAGTTTTACTAACTTGAAATCTTCCATCTTTGTGGGGTGAAGGAAGACAGGGAATAAGTGGCTGAGGGTCCAGCTCGGGGGGAACTCACAAGACAGTGGAGTGAGTACCTGAACCACCCATCAAACCGCCATCTCTGTGGCTGGAACTTCACATACTTGGAATAGTTGCGGTGAACTTCACTATTAGCTTTTGATTCAGCTGTGCCTCATTTTGGGGGTTTTCTTGTTTAGTTTACCTGTGCCTGAAGAAAGTTCCATTCGACATTCAATTTTTATATCCCCCCCCAAATAAAGCCCAGCTGCTATTTGGGGTTTAAATTTATGATTAATTACATGGTGACTCTTCTCTAAATGGGGAAGTGCCGAGTGCAAGTTTATACTGTGGTAGTAGTTCACCTCCTATGGAAGAGCACGTTAGGGTTTTCTGATTTCAGCTTTTTATAAAAGGGATTTATTTATTTATTTTTAGAGAGAAGGGAAGGGAGAGAGAAAGAAAGGGAGAGAAACATCCATTGGCTGCCTCTCATGAGCACTCCAACCAGAACCCAATCTACAACCCGGGCATGTGCCCTTGGCCAGGAATCAAACCCGTGACCTTTCACTTTGTGGGCTGACACCCAACCTACAGAGCCACACTGGTCAGGGCTGATGTCCAGATGAGAGTTTTCCAAATTCTGCCTTTTCTTTGTTTTCTTTTATTAAAGCAGTAGTGACAATAACAAAAATACCTCGGAAAACTACTTTCCTTCTATATAACTGTTGTGTTTTCCCAAAAGCTTTTGCCTTAACAACAACAAAATGAAATCTCTGAGTCCAGTCACCCGAAGAGGACCTTGCAATATGTGTCTCAACTTCTCGATGTGAAGGCGCGAACCACCGGGATTCTGTGCCCGACTGTTTGAATGACATTTGTGGGGTTTAGCAAAGCCAGGTCTCCAGAACTGGTTCCGAAGCGGCGCCAGTCAGCTGAGTCATCGCACGCATCCCCAGGGAGTGAACACCACAGCGATGTTTACCACCTCCCGGGGCATAACTTCTGCTCTGAATGGCTTATTTTTTTATTGACACTTGTGGGAAACATTTCTCCTTTGCAACTTGGTTGCAAAATCCCAGGACTTGACTGGCCATCCACCCTGAACCCCGCTGTGAGCCTGGTAACTCACACTGCTACACAGTTGAGGCAGAAACACAATGTCCTAAACCAAGTGCAGGGTGTCCAATAAATCCAGCATGTGAAGGAGACTGGGGCCATGTTGAAATCCGATGGTTCCTTTTGGGGCCTGAACATGCTGCGGCCTTGAAGCAGAGGTGCCCTACAGCTCTTGGTCTTAGGAGCAGATGTTAGCTTTTTGATTGGTGCTTCCCTTTTCACAAACTGCCAAGAGTTTCTGGTCATATTACAAATTAATGAATTTTCGATTTTTTTCCTTAGGCTATAAAATTGGTATTAAAAATTTATTGAAGCCTGAGGTGAGAGACTTCTGGGAGAAACTGGGCAGCTATGTGGCCCCCGCAGAGGAGGGGGGTCACGTGGACCTCTTTGTACCACTTGGAGCATCAGGTCAGTTTTGAAAGGTAGTGGTCATGCCTGTGTTGCGATGATGTTTTGTGAATTTGTTCAAATGATTCTGTCCCATTTCCTCTTTATTTCTTTTTTGCTTTACACGTCATATATGCGGGCATTTAGAGGAAACAGGCTTTGGAGTTAGCAGTCAGCGTAAACGGTTCCTGTAGAAATATCACTAGGGACAAGAGCCAGCTAGGAGCGTTATTTCTAGTTCTTCTGGAAAACACAACAAAGTCAGGCTGCACAATACAAGGGAAAGTACCTCATCGGTGTAGGAAGTATAGCAGGTCAGTCTGCGACAACTCTACATACTGTGTTCTGAACCTGGAATGTGTGAGCCTGAACTTGGTGACCAAGAACCTGGACTTGAATCCTACTTGTGCCACTTTAGCTGTGTGGCCTTAGGCAAGTTTATAAACCTCCGTTTCCTCCTGTGAACATTAGGATAAAAATACCTTACCTTATAGGACTTGTGAATATCAAAATAACATAAAAATTTAATTTATACAAATAAGTAATAATATAAATGCTTAATATTAGAACACTAAAAACAGTGAAGTGCTTTATGAAGATGAGTGTAGCTGCTGATCACTGAGGTTGCTGATATACATTTTTTCCTTTGTAAATTTTTTTAATTATTATTTTTAAATTTTTTTATTGTTCAAATACATTTGTCTCCACCTTCCCGCCACCACTTTCCTCTGCTCCCCTCCCCCACCTCCCTCCCTCAACCCTTCCCCACTTTGGCTTTGTCCATGGGTCCTTTATACATGTTCCTTAACTTGACCCTTTCCTTTCCCTGCCTTCCCCTCCTTCTCTCTTGATTCTGTTGATTTCTTTTTTCTTTCAGTGGTGCTGGTTATATTTTCCTTGCTTGTTTGTTTTCTTGGTTAGGTTCTACTTATAGGTGAAATCATGCTGATATAATTTTAAGTGCCTACCTGTCTAGGATCAGCCACTATAATTCAAAGTTGATTTCAGTACTCGAAGGGAAGTTTCAGAAACATTAAATCAAATTCAGTTTTTAGTTATCTGATAAATAAAAGCTCTGCATTCGTGGGCTCTGGGTTTGTTTGTTTGTTTGTTCATTTTTTACCAAACAGAACAGGGAAGAGGGAGTATGAAATTAAATTTTCTCAAACTGTTTATTACCCATTCTTTAGAGAGCTGTGAGTTTAAAGTTCTTAATTTTCAATTTCATTGGCAAGCTTCAACCAGGGGAAAGGATAATAACAAAAGGAGGTAAGAGGTTTAAAGGAAAATGAAATACAAATTATTGTAAATTTTTTTAACACAGTTATTACTATTTTATAATCTCAACTATGTAGAAAAATATCCATAAAAAACCTATAAGGAAATATAGCAAAATAGTAACAGAAGCTATCTCTAGATGTGGTTTTTTTTTTTTTTTAAGTTTGTACTTTTCAACAGTATTTAAAAATATGTTTCAGGGAATATGGATGTCGTGGTCCCATGTTTATAGCCTGTGTAAGGGGAGGAGGGCGGTGGTTGTCTATGTATAGGAAAGGACACATATCAAGGTGTTAACCATAGTTGGATAAGTGAGATTTCCTTCCTTTCATTTAAAAAAATTTTTTTTATCTTAATTGCCTGTATTTTCTGTAATAAACCAGTATTACTTTCATAATGAGAGCAAAGCAAATTTTCTAATTAGAGGAGAAGAAAAAGAAAGGATATGGGAAAGTAAAATACTGAAAGGCAGACAATAAAGGCAAAAGGGGAAAAGATCAATAGATTTGGTGACATGAAAACTGTCTCAGGTGAAACTTAACAGCACTCGAACAACAGGTTTCCCACCACCATTCTGGGCCCCGAAACCATCCCTGAATCTCTTGTCAAATGTATTTAATTTCCACCTGGATGAACCATCAAGACCCTGGTTCAGTCAGAAGATGCTGGCGTCTCAGTCCAAAGATCTCTCTTCCACCAGCTCAAGCATCACTCAGTCGCTGTATCGCATCCGCTGTCTCGGATTTCAGGCATCTAAGTACCACTTCCCAATCATGAACTCAACATTCCCACTCTGTCAGTTCTTTGCCAGAAGAGCTCCAATCCACACCGCACTTTTTCACTCTCTATCACCATGCCTTCGTCCTTGGCTCCTTCTTTGCTAATCTTGGACTTAATGGGTCATCATTATCATCACTCTCTGGCAAAGACTGAACTTCTCTGTCTTTTTCCCGGCCAAATCCCCACCCATTTGGCTAACTCCCAGTGGAGGCTAACACACCACCGTCTGCAAACCCTAGGCCAGCCTGCCCTGAGGCAGCTGAAGGCTGTTGGGAAAGGTAATGCAGCTGTTCTTACTGCTCCAACTTTGATGGCATAAGTAGCAGATGGGGTTGCAGTACTGATGCTTATTTTACCAAGGGAAATGTGACCCGACCACACTTCCTTGGCAAACGCATTCCCACCCCTTTGAAATAGCTATGCCATCCCTTCTCCCCTTCAGTCCATCCTTGCAGTGATGCTCCCTCTCAGCCGGGGACCGCACTTTTCACTTCCCCAAGAAATTCCCTAATTCCTAAGTCCCCTCCTGACGCCGCCACCACCGCCTACCCCACCTCTTACCTTCGGCCCTGCCTTCTCTTCTGTTAACTGTAGAAGAAGTTGCTCCAGTCGAAGATCAACAACTCCACTTGGACTCTAGCCCACCGCCTTTCACCTCCCGACTTCATTTCTACACTCCGGTCCCCTTTGTAGCCTCAGTTCTCTGACTTTCCTGGATCCTGCACATGAAACCAGGAACACCTGGAGGAGCTCCTGTCCTGAAAAGAGAGACAGATCATAAACATTCCCTCCCTGCATTCTGAGCTGCTCTACCCGTTGTTTTCACTCACCAGCGTGTATCTGAATCGCCTACAGGTCTTGTTAAAAGACGCCACGCTGCCCGCGCCCCCAGGGTGTCCGCTGCAGTGGGCCTGGGGCGGGGCCTGGGAATTTGCATTTCCACCACGTTCCCAGGTGTTGCTGCCGCTGCTCCTCCCAGGGCCGCCCTTTGAGAATCCGGGGTCTGTGCTGAGTGCCTCTCCCTTCCTCACCTGTCATTCGCTCCTCACGCTCCTCCAAGTGGTCTCTTTATCTCTACTGAAATTGCTTTCAGAAAAAAAATAAGTGACTTCCACGGGCCCCGACCCAGAGGTCCCTTCTCCGTCCTCACTTGGCTTTGACTTCTCAGCAGCATTCCGTGCAGATGGGCGCCCCTGGGAACTCGTTCCTCCTCCGCCGGTCCCTAAGGCCACACCCTCCTTGTCTCCCTCCTACTGCAGTGGCTGCTGCTCCTCGTTCTCCGGTGCTGGCCCCTCCTCCTTGACAAGACCCTCAACGGTGCCCAGGGCTTGACCCCGGGCTCTCTCCGTTTCCATGACTACACTTTTTCCCATGCAGTCTCATCTATTTCTAAGACTCTAAATTCAGTCTACAAGACGGACACTCCCGAATTTACGCTTCCAGCGCAGATATCTTTGAGCTGCAGACTCATACCTAGCTCCTGCTCGACATTTTCATATGAATGTCCAGTTTGCACATCTAAGAGCATCTCAGAGTTAACATAATTCGGTGCAAACTCGATATTGCCTCCCCAGCACCAAACCTACCCTTCCCCAGGATTCCTCTGTTAAGATATTGTCATTCATCCAGTTATTTCATAAACCAGGAACTTAAAAATTCATCTCCTGGGAGCATCATGTTAAAAACATTTAAACAGCTTTATTACGGTGTAATTGACATACAATAAACTGCACATATTTAAAATGTGCAATTGGATAAATTTTGACATGTGTAATAACCTGTGAAACCATAAAACAATCAAGATAATGAACATACTTCGATCTACAGAGTGTCACTGAAGGAGCGAAGTCAATGCCAGGGTCAAGTTTGACCGTTGTATTCCATTCTGTGTTCAACAGTTTTAAATCTATCCTTTTACACCGAGACTTCCTTGTCTGTGACTTCGGCCTGAGTGTTCCAGACTTGAAAATAAGCACAAGGTCAAACTTCATGCCCTCTTTTCCACCCTGTTGTTCTGTCCTCATAAATTAAGTGTTTGGACTTCAGCACTTAAGGCTGAACTGTAAAGTGCTGACAAACTGTTCCATGAGGGATTTGAACTGAGAACGAGAACCGCTAAGCCTGCCTTGGCCAGTTCATCCGTGCTCCTAAGTAATATTTACCCATTCCGTGGCAAAGCCTGTGAGTAAACTAATAAAAGTATTTTTTGTGCAGAGGCAGGTGTAGAAGTTCTTTCTCAGCTGTCTCAACTAACTGGCACGTTATTTACGGCCCCAACTGGGATCGCAACGGGCTCTTACCAACGCAGTAAGTGACGGTGGGCGCTGCCCCTCGGGCCCAATAACACCCGCCCCACCCCCCTCCAGATTCCCAAAAGACAAAGTGCGCTACAAAATACTGGTCTGGCTGACGTCAACTACCATTCCTTCTGTGAAACTGTGTCATTTCCTGTCACTCTGTCATTTGATTAGAAAGGAAAATGTGTATTGCAACTATCGGCTTCAAACCATCATTCATAAAACTCAGTTGAAAACATCATCTTTAACAGTTAAACAAAGATGTATAGTTGCTGATCTAGAGAAATAATACACACAGAGAATAGTTTTTAGTAAATATAATTAATATGGTTTCATTTGGAAAAATGAATTTCACTAGAAAGAGGTGATTAAGAGGCTTGTTCAGGTTCCATTTCGGTATCATTATCTGAGAGGAAAAACAGCCAGTGATATATACTGGAAAGCAAAGTTTTGTTTAGATATGAAAGTGGACGATATTAAATCAAAATGTAACATTGGCTGATGGAGAGCCGAATTGCTTTGTTACAGTAATGTTAATCATTTTCCCCTTTAAAACTCCCTGCCTCTCATCAAACAACATTTGGGATGATATAGAAACTATATAAAGCATTACCTCCCTGGTCCCAAATGCCAGCAGCCTTTGAAGATGGGAAAGCCGACCTCAGGAAACTTATACTGGAAATGCTATCACAAAAAGCACATTGATTTAATATAGTTTTGTAGCAGAAGTTGCTTGTTAATTTCACTTTATATGGCAACATCACCCAATGATAACATATTTAGCCCTGTGGAGAGAGGAATCCGCCTAGCAGAACAGAGCGGGGCATAGACGCTTGTTTACAGAGCAAGTGTTCTTTTCTCCTCTGCCTCCTCTTCCCCCTGTTCATCCTCCTTCCCCCACTCTTCTTACTCTCCCTCTCGAAGAGCAGTTAAAAGATTTCACATGTTTAGCAATAAACACAGGGGAAGGAGAGCCAAACAAGTCTATCTATCCATCCAGGACAGAAAATCAAATTGATTGTGGCCTTGTATCCTTCAGTAACTGATTTTCAAGGAGGAAAACTTGCGTAAGCACCTGCTAGAATCGTGTAGAGATATTTGAAGAGAGAGGTAGTAGCTTGACATAATGTAAGAAAGATACAGGATTGGCTACAACAGGAATGACTTCGGATGGTATCATGGGGAAACGAGGCAGAATGGGGTTTCCTTGTATGTTCATTTTGGAAATAAAAACATAAAATACTATGTTCTTACTTAGATGCCTACTCTGCTTCCCAATGCACAAATCCAGCAGCTATTTAATATTTTATTGCCATTATAATATGTCAACCTTTTCTGTCAAAAAGCAGAGAGGCATTTGATATTATTCATTGTAATCTCTTTGAGTTTCTAATTTTACCTTTGAAAGCAGACTGTGGGTGTTTATTTTAGTCTTCTAATGAGGAAGGATAATGAGCCTGATATGAATACAACTAAGTTTTTGCGTGTGTGTGTGTGTACTACCCAAAAGAAGTAGAATGATTTCACCTGAGCTTCTGTCTGCAATAATAAAAGGAGGAAATGATGTCAGTTCTTAGTGACTGGCTGGGACCACAGCAGGACAGGGCTCCCCCGTCCATCTACTTCAGCGAATCAAAGCTGCACACGTGGTCCAGCCTCACGGACTTCCTGGAAGACACCTTGAAATCAGTAAGGAAACAGTTAAGTCCTCTCTTCAAGGAGTTGCGGAAGAACATCAGTGGCAGGATGATAGGTAAGAACTCTTGCTAAGTCTGCCGCAAACTAATTAGGAAGTTTGTTTCATATCCAGGGTGAGCCCAAGTTTAGGAATGTAAAAATTGACCCCTAAACATCATCAGTGCTACTTTGCTCCCTTGTTTTTCATATCTTCTTCCAAATGTAATGAATATCCATTAAGAATAAATATTAAATGCTATTTAATAAATATTACATGGAAAGACAAATAAATATATTCATGTTCATGCCAAAGCCAGTTCCTGGATTCAGAGTCTACCGTCTTACTAATCCTGTGTCAGTCAATTATTTACCCAGGCAAAACGCGCCACATGTTTGCTCAGCCTGAGAACTCTGTCCTTTTCCCACTGCAATTTGCTCTCCAAGCAAAGCACCTCTTAAACCACAGCACCCATCACTTAAATGGCTCTGCAATTGTGTTCTATTTGTTTTTTTTACCTAAAATGTGTAATTGGGTGATAGATCCACGGTCCTCTGCTGAACCTGCTGGACATTATTGAATTTATTGTCTCATTTACACTCCACATCTATGATCAAATTATCACAATAGACGCTTTTGGAAGCACTGTCCTGTGTCAACTGGATCTTTACCTAAATCAGTCTGTTTTTTTAAATCCTTTTTTTTTTTTTTTTTACTATATAGGCAAATGAGTTTTCCTTCCATCTTTACCTATTCAATTTTTCCTTAACTCTTTCCATCTAACTAAATAAAACACCCTATAAATCAAGTCACTATATATCTATGCCTTACTTCCTTTCTTCTCTTCCCCAACTCTGTTCCTTATTTAACATTTATTTATACAGTTATTCTCTATACAAGAGCTGTAACACATGAGTATGCATGGAGATATTTTGATGATATATGTAAGCAATAAGAAGTAGAATGGAAGAAAATTCTTTTCATATAAGTGCATGTTTTCCAATATTTTTTAAATGAAAAAGATGTCTGTGTATGTATGTTAGTATATTATTTTCTATGGTTTTAAAATATTTATTTACAAAGATAAATGAGAGTGTGGGGGAATCTTTGGTGGAATTGCGAATCTAAAATTTAAACTTACGAGGTTTATTTTCACATGTTCTCTCCTTATTGTCCATCTTATAGATTGTATTCAGCATCAGCTTTACCAGGGTGGATCCTTTCCATGTGCTGCACATTTAGGTGCTTTTATATTTTATCATGGTAGATAATCCTCATGGCGTAATCCATGAATTTTAATTTTTATTTTTTGCATCTCTATCTACCAAAAAGCAATGTGAGGACTGAGCTGTGCTCTTCTTGGTTACGTCTCTTACATAAATTGATTACAGTGCCTATGGCCTTATATTTACAGGACAGTTTATGTTTGACACTATGAGCATGACCGACATTCTAAACAACCAAGAGACTGCACAAGCTCTAGCAGATGGATTGACGGAGCTTTCAAAAGAAAATTCTGTAAGTATTTTTTTTTCAAAGAAAGCACACTACAAAACCCCAGCACTTAAATACATCTTTAATTTGCATTTATTATTATTTTTTTAACCAGTATATCCTTCCAGGGCGCGATTCCTCAGAAAAAATTACATCAGTTTGTAGAAATGGCCACTGAGAGATTCTGGGCCCAAGATCTACTGGGCACACAAGACAGACAAATAGGAAAATCTAGGTCATTTAAAAGTTGACTCCATTGTGCACTGTTTTCTGTCTTGTGAATAATTTCAGTCAGAAATAACTTCATTAAAAAAATACGTGAGTGGCTTTATATTTCTCATAAACATTATTCAACAGGTAAAACAATTAATAAAATGACAGAAAGACTGAGAAAGTTTGAAAGCAGGTAGAAGAAGATGTAGGGCACAAAGGCTAGATGAGAGGATGGGAAAGAGAACACAAAAGGACAGGAAGAAGCATATCAATCGTTTGGTTGGGGACAAGCATTGGGGGCTACTGGTGAAGCATTTTCATCAGAAACAAGTCTTGGGTACTCTCCCAGAAAAGTCAGTCCATGTATCAGGACACAGCAAGGAGAGTCCCCAAGGCCCTCACAGGGCTACAGGAAAGCGAAATAAGCCATTGTGGTGCCGGGGAAGTGGAGAGCAGGATGAGACTAGGGATGGCATTAACACACTGGATGCTAGCTAAGGGCTTTAGTTTTTCTTTCTTCTTTTTTATTTTTTTAAGATTTTGTTTATTTTTAGAGAGAGGAGAAGGGGAGGAGAAAGAGAGGGAAACATCAACGTGTGGTTGCCTCTCATGCGCCCCCTACTGGGGACCTGGCCCACAACCCAGGCCCGTGGTCTAGATTGGGAATTGAACCAGCCGCCCTTTGATTCGCAGGCTGGCGCACAATCCACTGAGCCACACCAGCTAGGGCAGGGCTTTAGTTTTTCAACAAGAGATTCTCAAATCCATCTCTTCCACTGTAATAATTCAACTCTGTGGGTGGATTTAACTTTGTCTTTGCCTACGTTCTCCTTATCTGCCCTGTGTCTGCTTTGGTTTCACCTTGGCTTCCTGGGTAACCATCAGGCATCTCCGAGATCAGCTCTCCCGCGTGGAGGCTGAGAGGCTGCAGTTGGCCATGACTTGCCCTCCCTGCAGTCTCAGCTCCGGGTGCCCAAGCCAGCCCTGGGGCAGCCCAGGGATGAAGGCGCTGGTGAGCCCTGCTGGTAAAATGACCGGGGGAGTTTACAGGTACGACATGGAGACTGGAAGATCCTGCACTGTCTCCCGAAATACCAAAGATTTACTAAATGTGTTTGTTGTACGTTCAGCATACCTACTGCCACCTCATTATTTAAAAATAACTGTGTATGATATAACTTTGATAGTGTTCAAAATCATAGCCTGAGAGGGAACCAAATTTGAGTGTTTTTCCAATAATTGAGCTGCTCTACCGTCCCCCTCCCCAAACCTTCTTTCTCCTGAAAGACAAGATCCCTCCTGTCCCCTTTGTCATCTGGCCAAGAGGCCGGTGTGTGGACCACTTTGGTTCTGAGGTTCTTGAGACCCTCCCCTAAGACCTTGGCATCCTAACTGAACTGTGATAGTCAGTTGCGCATTAAGAGTATATGTGGTAACTGCAGTATGTGATTAACTGGAAAGTCCCATTTACTGACTCTAGTTGAATAATCATTACTTTGTTTCCTGGACTTATAAATTAATTAGGTAGGAAGCTGAAAACTACTAAAAAAGATGTTTTCTTTTCTACTATACTTTTGTTGACCTATATTTCTGATGAATGCTTTAAATACAATTTTTTGGGGGGTGTGGATTTTTCAGGACAAACCTCTGGAATTTTTGTCACATTTTCTGTTGAAGAGATACAGTGAAAAGAGCAAAGATTTTGAAGGAAATGTTATTCTGACAAAATCTGACGCAAAGACAACATTCAATTTGTTCATGAAGGTAAAGTTATTGCTGTATTTTATGCCATTGCTTCACTGTAGAGTTAGACACATGTGCTTAAGAAATGCATAGACAATAATGATAATTCTACCTGGAAAGCTTCCAACTGGTCATTTCTTCTAAGAACTTTATTTTCTTGAGTTATTATTTTTAAAAATTTTTGTAGTATCATGAGTAACATTTAAGCCACTTACAAATATAAACTGTACTATATTGACTGGAGTAACACTTTTTGGGTTCAGAGAAAAAGTTGGAATTTGCGTTTTGCTTCTTTTTCTGTTGAGTCTTGAGATAAGCTAAAGAGTTTTTTTGTTTTTTTTTTCCCGTTTGTCTCCCAGGATGGTGCGTGTGTGTGTGTGTGTCTGTGTGTGTGTCTGTGTGTGTGTGTGTGTCTGTGTGTGTGTCTGTGTGTGTGTGTCTGTGTGTGTCTGTGTGTGTGCGTCTGTGTGTGTGCGTCTGTGTGTGTGTCTGTGTGTGTGTGTGTGAGACTAAGAATGGTTCTCCTTTTCTTAATTGAGATTCAAATTCATAAAAGAAAAAAAAGTGGGTTTGAATCTAGTTCTTCAGGCAAAAAATAATGATTCTGCCAGTACTTTATTCAGAATCCATATATTCTTAATTAAGTGGAATAATCAGGATCCAGGAAACACTGAAAATTGCATTGTTTTGCAGAGAGCTGATTTCTACAAAAGTGTCATTTTAGAGCCATTTTATGCCCATGGAACAATTATCTACCTGTCTTACATGATCACAGGCTTGGGATACCAGCCCCAACACAAACTCACCGTGGGGACTGGTGGTAGGAATAGACTGTGGGTTCCCTTAGCAGGTGAATCACTCGTTGCCCCATTAACATGACATTCAGTTCATCGTCCCTGTGGGTAGTGAAGTGCTGGGAAGGGCGACAAGGAGGACCACCAGAGGCAGTGTCCCCTCTAGCCGCCCCAAGTCTCTTTGCAATTCTTGGGGATGATTCCCTGAAGGGTAGATGTCTTTTCGACCTACTGCTGAACTAAACATATAATCACTTTAATAAAACAATGCAGAAAGTTTGAGCTGAACGTTGCCTCGACACCGGAAATCAGACTTGTTAGGGTTGTAGCGCCCATCTTTAATGAAACTACAGAAATGTGAAACTCCTTAATGCCTAGATATCTCTTTGATATATTTTTATTTTTTAACTGACATTTTTATTTTAAAAATAAAATTAGAAAAATATGTTAGATTCTTATTTGGTTTCCTGTTATTTAACACTTGAGAGCTTGTGCACAAAGCCCATAAAACAAAGTTGGGGACCCTCAGGGGCAGAAAAAAAACACAGCTTAAATGTGGGTGCTGTATTAGGATAAAATAGAGAAGCTGAGTTACTACTCCATACATGAGGGTTTATTTTTGAAAAGAGAAATTCGTTCAAAAGAAGCACATAACCCTCACAGCCTTAGGAGCAGAAATTCATAGCTTCTGCTGAAATATTATTTTAAAGAGCCTTCCACAGAGGCTTGTGTAAGGAGCTTGTCTGCCAAATCCAGGACAAGACACACACACACACACACACACACACACACACACACACACAGATACATATAGAGATAGATACATCTGTCTACCCACCTATCCACCCATCCACCATCTTGCAGTCAGCATGACTCCTGGTTTGTGTGTGCCTGGAGTGTTTACATTAATACCAATCAACCATGGCAGTGGGTCACAGCCAAAATCATAGTTGTCCCTGAGAAATATCTGACATTTTCACAACTATTTTTGGCCCCTCATATAGGAAGCCAAGTGTTTTCTAGGAGAAGCACCAGCAAGCTAGGACGTCTCTGGAAAATGCAGTGCCTGCCCGTGCTCCATCCTAGAGGAAAAAATATCTGTCATGTGATTGGACATCTCTCTTATATGCCGGGGGGGGGGATGGGGGGGGAGCCAAGGCAAAGGCCACCAACCCGAAATAATTGTTTTCTTAGAAATTGTTCTTAGAAGTTTGTCGCTTCTGTTACTTCCTCTGAATTCATCCCTAAAAACAAAATAAGGGATGGCATCTTAATCTAAAAACAGTCTCTAAAAATCTTAATAATTATATATATATATAATATAAAATGAGAAAACTTGCTATTTTTAGGTTCAAACAAAATTACTATGCCGTATCAATTTCCTGTTCACAAAGAAAACTTTATATTTAATAAAAATAGCTGCTGCTAAGCCAGAGGTAAAACAAAGCCCCAGTGTGAGCCAGCAGCTTCTAAAGTAACTAGGATGGCCTGGGGTCCATGCTGATGCCTGAATTTTAATGCATCAGTGCTCATGGGAACCCAGGCAGTAGGGTGACACCCCAGATAAGGGTGCCTCCCTCACCTATGAGATCCGCAAGAGACTCTGTTCTGTTTGGGTTCTCTTGATCCTGGGCCTGGCAGTTAATTTCCCCTTTGTGTCCGCAACCATTCGGCCTACACAACTATTGGTGTTACTGCTGACTGGTTGAAGGTGCCATTTCTCCATATAAATAATCAGCGCTCTTACTTATTTTGGAAGAGGAGAGCGTTCCACTCAGAGAAATTTTAAATTATTTTGTAAAAATTCAAAGTAGATTTTCCCCCATAGCATAAATATAAGCACATGCCATGTTGCTATGGAGCGGCCCCAAATGAGGAAGACACGAGAAATGACAGGAAGCACGCAGGCTCCCGTGGGGCCTCTGCGGACCAGGGCGAAGCTGTCCGACTACAGTTAGGACCAGGGCCCTGACCCACAGGCATCCCTGAGGCTACAGGTACAAAATAAAATTCACTTTTGCCTCAGTAAGGCAAAAGGAGTCTTGGTCACAAATTGATGTTTTCCTCCAGCCTCACCCCTGGATATCAAGATTTTACCCTGCGCAGTTTTATCTTTAACAATGTGGGGCAGCAGTAATGACCATTAATCCAACATAAACATGTGGCCATTGTTCTATCGCTAGAGTGGACCCCAGGATGCTGCTAATTCATATGGAGGCCCCAAAAACAATGAACAGCCCTGGCCAGGTAGCTCAGGGCGTCGTCCTGATATGCCAAGGTTGTGGGTTCAATCCCCAGGCAGGGCACACACAGGACTCAACCAATGAATACATAAATAAATGGAACAGCAAATCAATGTTTGTATCTCTAAAATCAATCAATAATTTTTTTTAAAAATAACAATGAACGAGTAAAGTGAAGAAAGAATAAGCCATATTTAAATATGGTAACAGGTCTAGAAAGAACTGTTTCGGATGCATTAGGTGATAAAAGGGGAACTTTCATAAAGTGCCATGAGTTTTTTCTTCTGGCATCTAAAACATAAGATAACCTGTTTGCCCTCGAATGACAAGAGACAGAGCCAAGCTGAGGCAGAGGCCTGTGACCCAGGACGCGTGGCATTCCCTCGCCTGGGGGTGGGGGGCGGAGATAGCAGGGTGATGGGGGACGGGAAGGGAGCTGCCCCGGATTTAGTTCCTCGAGTATAACGCAGTTCAAAGGAAGCTAAAGGCTTTGTTTTTATTTTTAACATAAAAGTTACTTTAAAAGAGGCATCAGTCTTGTTCTGTGCTTCATGCAGTTAGGGCTGAAGGCAGAGCCACTGAGAGTCCCCTGTGGGGGGGGGGGCGGTGTCAGCGCCTCCTGCCTCCCAGTAATCGAATCTGCATTGACCTCTCAGGAAAGACATGTTTTCAAAGACAACCCTCAGGACACAGAATCAAGTCTCAGCGAAAGTAATCCACATTTTGAATTGCTGGTTCAGCTGGTAAGCCAATTATTACTTAATAAGAATTTTCCATTTGTTTTTTTCTGACCTTCCCCCTTCCATCCTACCCCCTCTCCCAGAGGAAAAAAAGCCCCAAAAACAAAACCACTGTAGCCTTTATTTTGGTTGGTTTTTCCTTTTTCCTTGAAAGTTCCAAGAGAAAAATTGGGGTGGGGGGACCTCCCGAATGTACCTGGGGGGAATCCCATCAGCAGCTTTTCTTCTGAATGCTTCCTGGTCTGAAGTGAAGTTTGAGCCAAGAGGACTGAGGTCCTTTGGACGCCTCTTGGGAGCAAAAGCCGCCTCTGCATCTGCACGCTTTTCGAACAGGCCGCTAGGACATCATCGGAAGCAAAGGCGCAGGCACAGGAAGGCTCACGGTTTCCACCCGACTGACTGGGGTGCTGGTTGAGCAGAGCCAGTGTGGCTTTCAGGCTCCGCCTCTCGGGCCGGAGCAGCGGAGCCCAGGGAGGCGCAGGCCCAGCGCCGGCTTGGTCCGGGCCCCGCGAGTACACAGCCCGCGCGTGTATCCCACACCCGACTGTGTTTATCGTCCTATTTCCTTCTCGGGGTCCTGTAGCGCAGCTATTAGTAACCACGTTTGTGTAGATGAGGAACGAAAGTTAGGAGACTTCAATGACTTCTCTAAGGTCAGATAATTGGCAGAAAGAAATTGGAATCCGGAGGCGCTGACCTCACAGCTCCCAGGCTCTTGGGCAGCAGACAGCACCCTGGGGGGGTTGGGGGGCACCCCTGCTGCGGGCAGTGGAGGCTGCCAACCGGGGAATGGGTGCGAGGGAGTCAGACAGCACCTCCTCTGACTGTGGGTGATGACACCTGACAACAAGTTTAAGACAGCAAAGAGTTCGACAACAGAAACCTCAAGTCAAAATCATTTTACAGGGTCCGGCAGAAGTAGGGCCTCTTTGAGTGTGGTTGGTAGGGTGATATAGTACGGCTGTAATAATTTATAGTTTTAGCTTGAACATTTCACCTAAAATGTCATATGGTGTGTTTGAGTGTGCTATTGTTATGTTACAGAATCGCACGCTTATGATTTTGTAATAAAAGGGGTGTTATCTGTGCCGGACCCTGTATATATTGGATAGCTCCAATAAATTAAAAAAATATGTAAATACACATAAAATATAATATGGGCTGCAAGCCAGCCCTCAAGTGGGATGTAAATTTATTTTTTAACTCATTAGATATATCTAAAGAGGCATTATATATAGACCACGTGTCTGAAAGATAAAACTCACTAAGAACAGTGTATTTATCGTATTCTACCTAGTTTTCTAATCTTTCTCTTAAGTTGATTTTCCATTTTAACTTTAGTTCATAAACTCCTGGTTGACTTAGCGTAGGTGAAAATCACATGGCACTATGCTTTACTGCTGTAGTTTTATTTGGGACAGTTTGGGGCGTACTTAGGGCTGGAGAGAAAAGAGGAAATTGTGTTCTAAGAGCATATAGTTCTAGGCTCAAATACAAGCCCAGTAATTTTAGACATTTAAATATCATAATTGTTTTCTATTGTAAAAATGCTCATTTTACAACTTTTTAAAAGTACAGATAAAAGGAAAAGAATTACCCATTCCCAGTCATGAAAACTAATATCTCCAAATATAAACATAGCACACATAATAATAGGGTCTAGGATTTCTTTATACCAGGGTATGATTTTTCCCTCTGTGTTAAAAAAATAAAGCATGACTTTGAAATACAGAAAAGAGGAGAGTTGACCACCTAGCTGCCCAGGAGAGATGGGGTCACAGTTCTCATGTTAGGTACATCTTCCTAAATCATGAAAGAAGAGCATGAGTTTGCATATTTCATAACATGCCTGTGGGAAGCAAACTAGCTCACCCAGTCCTTCTGTCTGCAGGATAATCAATAAAACACTAGTAGGGAAAAATAGGAAAACAATGGTGGGCGACCCACAGTCTTTCTCACTCCTTCTTCCCCCGTGGTGGCAGGACTCTGTCTTCTCATCTTACAGCCATCAACTAGCACACGACACTGAGCACGAATTCGATGGGCAGATGGACAAAAGCCAAGTCTCGATCTGCCCTCTCAGGATCCAGGATTAAAGTTCCATCTCTACTACAGCGTCACACTGGCCTGTTGTGAGGGGCTGTTGGGTGATATTGGGGGCAAGGAACGGTCAGCGGGGTCCTCCATAGTCCGCTGTCAAGATTCCCTTCACCCCTGAGTGTCACAGACCAGGAAGAGGCATCTCAGGGGATCTGCCTGATAGCTCATTGCTTCCTTTTCTCTGTCTCCTTCAAGTTGCAGGCTCTTTGAGGCTGAAAAAAATATTATGCATTCCCAACGTTTTTCTACAGGAGAGAAAGCTGCAGACGGACTGGGCCGCGAAGCGAGCTCGAGTGGCCGGGGAGCTCTTAGGAAGCGAGAGAAGATACGTGCAGATGCTGGAAATTGTGAGAGACGTTTACGTAACACCACTGAAGGCAGCGTTGTCATCAAACAGAGCGATTCTGAGTGCTGCAAACATCCAGATCATTTTCTCTGATATTCTGCGGATTTTAAGTCTCAACAGGTAGTTCCTGAATACAGGTATTCTGAAATTCTCGGTTTGCGGCGGGAAGAACCCGCACTGAGCCGCGCAGAGGCTCAGGTAAGTCTCTGCCTCTCCTGGGGACCCTGAGCAGCACACAGAAGAGACAGCATTCCTGTCACTGGGCCACGGCCAGTACTGATGATTCTCAGGGGCTTACTTCTGCCTCAGTTCACAGCCATGGTACTAGGAGTGGAGTTCATTGCTGCGGGGATTCTGTATTCAATACATTGTTCATGCAAAAGACAAGACAGTATGTTTAGTTGAGCGATAGGAAAGGAACCGAAGGATTTAATGGGACTCGGTCACTGGGATACTTTGCTTAGTGAACCAAGGTCCACCTTAGTAACAGTAGATGCCTTGAGTATGTGAGTGTGCACAGAGGAAAGTGATCGTTCGCCCTGGCGGTAAAGACAAACTAAAGCTTATGCTTTTGTGCCAGTAACGCTCTGGGAGACTGAGAGGAAGTTTCTTCCCTCAGTGGGGCCCCACTCCTGCAAAATCAAGCCGTTGAACTAGGCCTCTTCCAGGTTCCAAGGCCTGTGGTGGCTGAATGAGGGATAACCTTAGATTCACTGGAAAATGGGCCCAGGGAAGATTATGGTGGTTTAAAGCAAGTTGAGCACTCCACTCTGAGACTTGAAAGAAACCTTCCCTGCCTGGCTGGCCGGCCATGTGGGAATGGGAGAGTCAGAGGCAGCCTGCGGAGGCCGGCCTGAGGCTCTGACTCCAGGAGTTAGGTGAAGGCTGGGCGGGCAGGGGGGATTCTACCACAGGTGACCTCCTTCCTCACCTCCCCCGCCCCAACCCCGCCCTGTCAAATCTGTACCGCCCTGTCTCAAGGCAAAAGCATTTGACAAAAGCTCAGCTGTCAATGGCTGGGCTGAAACAGCCCATGTGAATGACAAGTGATTTATTTGTTAAGTTTGTAGGTTATCACGGGCCCATCTTTCACGCACACGTGTTTCTCATGTTGCAGGCAGTTTATAGATAACCTGAGAGACAGACTACAGGAACCAGGCCCGACTCACTGTTTGGGAGAAATATTCATAAAGTTTGGAAGCCAGTTGAACACATATACCAATTTCTTCAACAATTACCCTGTTGTTCTGAAAACTATTGAGAAGGTAAATGATTGAGTTACCCTCTAGGCATTTATTAGACCTGAGCTTGAAAGGAAGTTTTGTGTGCCATCCAAAGGACTAGGATTAATAGGAAAGGTTTCTTCCCTACTCTTTGCTTCCAGATCTCCTCCTTCTGTTTACCGTGGACTCTGAGGACGGAGACCTGGCATTTAATTTTGTATGACTAGGGGTGAGCACAGTGCCTGACGCAGCAGGGCCTAGAAACCAGCTGTTCGGTGAACTCATCCTCATACAAACTGTCCGACGCCCACTGCCACAGATACCCTGGGGTTCAGTGCAGCCAAATGTTTAACAGTTGGAAGAAAGGCTGTGAGCCCCACTGCCACCACAGATCTGTGTGACCTTGACAAAGTCGGCTCTCTTATAAAGAATAGAAATTAATAATCTATGTTTCTTGGGATAAGGATACTCGGATCGTGAAATTTTACTGTGAATGAGGAATTTCGTTGTCTTACATTTCATAGAAAGTTCATTGTGCCTTGTCCCGTATATAGTCTGAATAGTCAGGAACATTCACTTCCCTCTGCATCACTTGCTGTTCTTGTTGGGATCTCTTCTGATGGCAATAAGAGCCTACTCTCTTCCCTCTTCAGTTTGTATCAAAAGTGCAGCAGCAGAGACCTTGCAACATGGCGGCATGCTTCGGCCAGCGCCCAGCGTGCCCACTTCGGCTGTGCTCGCCATCCACACTGAGGTCTCTGGCCGATGCCTGACCTCGGACATCTCCCTTTGTAGTGCCCCTCTCACCACATACAGAGAGTTTAACGCGGCTGGACGGTCTGATTATGTGGTGTGTGAAAACCGCATGAAGAAGGCCGTCTCATAGAACTGACTGACCATGAGTACAAGAATTGGAGTCAAGTGTCATATATTATCAGGAACAGATTGGTGACAAAATCTTTATAGTTATGGATAATAATGGTGTCTGTTTCACTGCATAGGGTGTGCCTATAAGTCTCAATAATTGTTAGCTATTAATATTATTGAAATCAATAAACGTTTATTGATTTCTAGAAATAAGCATTACTGGCATCTTTTAAGCATGTATCCCACAGAGAAAAATGGGTACGCTTTCCTGGGTACTTTAATGGTGATGTATGAATACATTTTAAAACAAATGTTAAATACAGTGGAACACTTTTCTAACATTACACATGATTAGCAGCGGTATTATAAGTGAATGCCATTAATAGTCTTTTACTTAAGGAAATAACATTTACTGTGTGACAGGCATTTAATGGACAGAATTTATTTTTCTTTCACCAAAAGAGTTAGGTATGATCTCCATGAGGAAACTGAGTCTCCAGGGAGTTAAATAACTTAACAAGGTCATGGAGGATTAGGTAAAATTAGATTAGAATTCTAATTCTTATCCAGCCTCCCTGGTTATAAAGTCTGTTTTCGTTAGTCTACCCTGTTTAAGTACAATGAATAGGGTTAGGTCAGTGGTACAAATAAATCGCTATGCTTAGTGCATTAGTATTAGTAAGCACTATTAATACGTTGACTAGATGCAGACATTGCCCTCTTGCTTTGAGTGCTTCATAGATCGTGTTTTCCCGGGGAAACAGAATGCTTTATGACTGTCACACAGAGCAAAGTTTTGACAAGATAACACTCACCTTTAGTGCAGAGAAACGAGACCAGCATTCCGAGCTTTCCTGAAGAGGCACGATAAGACCATTGCTACCAAAATGCTGAGGTGAGTTCTGGGCTCGAGCGGCGGAGGCACCCCAGGACGGGCCATTCTTTGCCCTTCAGAACAGGACGAGGGTTCCCTTCTCTGTGCCTCCCACAGCCTGCCGGAGCTGCTCCTGTACCCATCCCGAAGGTTTGAAGAATATATTCACCTTCTCTATGCTCTGAGGCTTCACATTCCTGCAGAGCACATTGACCGTCAGGACTTAACCACTGCAATTGACCAAATCAGAAAATATAAAGGTTACATAGACAAGGTTGGTTGCTGACAAGAGTCTGTGTCCTTTCAAACTGTTACAATGCTTTTCTGGTACTCTACCTTGAAGATCCTGAAATGCCTGGTCCGCCTGTGGTATTCTTCAAATTCTTTCATCCTTTTCATGTGGAATCATTGCATACAGAGACTTGGAGTACTCAAGACATCTATTTTAAGCCAAACTATGTTTTTGGATGACCATACAAGTTCCATAAAGTCTTTATTAATGTAAAAGTTTGAAGGAAGGAGTATCTGGATTGATTTTTCCATAGGACTAAAAGCAAAAAAAGGAAGATCCTTTGTTTCTGAAAGAACTTCTTAGTGTCTTAGATTTCCTGCCTGCCTAACTCAGCATCATGGCCTACAATGCTGTCATTCTGAAAACGTCCCTGTGATGTGTGTTCTGCATGGGCGTCTGGGCTGACTGTAAACTGATAGCACACTATGCCCAGAGGATGCTTTTTGAATACAGTCTTGTCACCTGTGTCTTTGTTTTAAGACACTGGGTACATGAAACCAGATTCTTATAAGTGCCATGAAATATCTTAAATCTATTTTTATGAATACAAATTTCAGTTTTATTTTGCTTAAAATCACTTTGTTTTCTAGATGAAGCAAAACATCAACATGAAAGATCATCTGTCAGACATACAGAGAAGCATCTGGGGGTGCCCTGTACGTATTCTGCTGTACTTTCTACATCTCATGCTCATGGATGAAATCTTGTACCATTGGCAAAAGGAGGCATACAGAGGTCACGTCAGCTAACGTCTGGGGAATGCCTGCTGTGAGCCTGCTGCTGCCAAGCTCTCACATTTCACATGCCTTTTATCTGCAAGGATACAATAGGGGAAGAAGCACAAGTGGGCTTGGCCCTATGCCTTAACTTTTCTGCAGTCTTAGCCCCTTGCTTGGTACTACTGTGATGTGACCCCCTCCCCCTGACCCGTGAGGAGAGGGGCCATGTCGTCTATTGTTTTATATTTCCCTGTGCATAGTATCTGGTGTAGGATTTTGCACATTGAGGATACCTGAAAAAGTTTTAGAAGTCCTCTGTTGGCTGTTACCTACAGAATATCATCTGGTTCCATTCTACCTTCTCTCTTACCTCCTTGCCTGCCACTTTATGAGCAAACCACACAAATCTACTCACAAGTCATGTCAGCTGCTCCTCGTACATTTGTGCTTTGCCCATACACTTGCGTCTCGAAAATTACCTTCCTTTCCTACTCTGCTGAATAAACTCCTATTCATCCTTCACACACCCGGTTCAATCATCATCTTCCTTCTAGTTTCTTTCAATAGCTCCAGCTGTGGTTGCCGCCCCCCCCCCCCCCCAGCAATCCTGTAGCACCCTGGACATCTGTCACATTTAATTGCAATCTTCTATTTGCACGACTGGGAGCTCTATCAGGTATGAGCTATGACTGATTTGTCTCCCAGTGTTGGACATATAATAGGAGTTCCATATAGGAGTTCTAAGGAATGAAGGAATCAATTGATTGGAGATGTTATTTTTACTTGGTCAAACTGGGGAAGCAAGATGGAGTTGCTCTGTCATAATTGAGATCTGCACATTTTAGTAGGGAAAGTGAAGTGAACTGGATTCAAAAAGCCCCAGGATGTGGCGCGTACAGAGTCCACAGAACTTAATCTCTAGGTCGCTGTTCACACCACGTGATCACGCCCATGGCTCCATCAGTTCAGGGGCCTGATTTCTTAATGTGCAACAATTCATTCCCTTCCTTTCCTTAATCTATTGCTTCTTATTCACCCTGTCCCCACTTTATTTTTGATACCAAGAAAACGTTTATAGATAAAACAATTTCAGTAGTTGAAGAATTAGACAACACCATAAAATACAATTTTCATGGTCAATTCTGTGGTCTTTCTAAAGAAAGCCTATTTTATAAACAATAAAAGCACTCCCCTTTTTGTAATTGAACCCAGTTCTACTCAATGCTTACAGATTCTGGGATACAAAACGGTTCTGCAGTAGTGGGGCTTTTTATTTTCTACAAATTATGTATGTTTCTAATTTTGTTTTTGATTTCCTAGACTCTATCAGAAGTAAACAGATATCTGATTAGGGTCCAAGATGTAGCCCAACTTCACTGCTGTGATGAGGAAATAAGTTTCTCTTTAAGGTAAACATCTAAATACTCTTAGCTGTGACTTAGTCCCCTGCACCCGGCACCCCGCCCAACATCTGTCGTAGTGTAAGTTTACAATGATCTGTGTGTTGAACTGAAAACTTACACACACACCCTCCTCTGAAATAAGGTGAGATGCCTTATCGCCTCACTCAAATTTCAGGCAGCGACTGGGCAAAACGAGAGAAAATAAATAGTCTCTGTTGACCACAAATTACACAGAAACAGAAATTCTAAAGATTAGGAACTTTCCTACCGAGAGGCAATCCAAGCGTGGTGGGATATCACATGAAGGATCTGCTCAACCATGAGAAAGAGAACACCAGTTCATTGTCCTCAGATACTTACTGTGGTCAGCATGTAAAAGGCCTCACCATAAGACCATCATTAGGTTGAGGCATCGTCATATCTGGTTGACACAGCGCTCACAGCAATGTAAGAACAAAAGATAGCAAAGAGTCAGTTTTCATACCCTAGCACCCACTTTTCTCCTGTAGAACAAAGATGAGCACTGTTTCTGTAAAGGGTCAGATGGTAAACATTTTAGGTCTGATTGACCAAATAATCTCTATGGCAACTACCTAACTTTGTCCTTGAAGCACAAAAGCAGCTACATAACCAATATAATATGTAACAAATACAATCTTAATAAACAATATAACAGAAATGAATGTGTAACTATGTTTCAGTAAAACTTCATTTGTAGAAACAAGTGGTGGGGCCAGTCTTCTAATCTCTCTGCTTCCGGAAATTGTTTGCCAAACTGTGTTCTCACTCAGTGTTAAGGGCAAAGATGATGACTCAGTTAGCAACCCAGTGGAGAGGAATTCTTTCATTTGTCCAGCTCCAATGAGATAAATAAAAATTGGTTTAGCTGTTATTTCAATGAATATTTTAGTAAATGTTTCCCTAAGACACAGGACAGGGTTGAGGGGTTGTTAGAAGAAAACCAGTTCTCTCACCTAATCCCTACAAAGGGTGAGTCTTAAATGAAAATTAAATCCTGTAACGTGTTACTTTCTCATTGTCAGTTTTTGTTTTTGTTTTTTTGATTTTGTTGTTTTTGGTCAGTAGCAATAGAAATAGATACAATGATGGAAGGAAACTAGCTGCTGAATCAGCAACTCTAAACATACTGCTGTCTCAGGAACGTGCTCCACACAGAGCTCCACTTTCTGCTTGTTAGAATTTATTCTACCTTCATAGAATATATTTAACCTTAAACACTCTTCCTCATTTTATAGAATTTTGAGTTTCTGACACATATAGTTTTTCTTCTCTCTGAAGAACTTCCTTTAACATTTCTCGCTAAGCAGATCAACTGACAAGGAATTCCCTCCATTCTTGTTTGAGAAATTTCATTGTTGTTCAGTTACAGTTGCCCCAACTTCCCCCTGCACTGTGCTGCCCCGCACCCCCCCCTCAGTCAGTCCCCACCCTGTTGCCCATTACCATGGGTCCTTTATACATGTTCCTGAGTGTCTGCTGAAGGATAATTTTGCTGGCTACAGAATTCCATGTTGATGGGCTTTTTCTTACAAAACTTATTTCACTCCACTATCTCTTTTCTTACCCCCTTTCTCCCCCTCCCCCACCCACCGTCTTCTTACTTGTATGGTTTCTGAAGAGAGTCCAATGTAGTTCTTATCCTTGTTCCCCTATAAGCAGGGCATTTTTTTAATTCTCTAGGACCTAAATTAATTCTCTAAATTAATTCTAATTTAGGTTCTTTCACGATTCTATCTTTGGCCCTGAGCAGTGTGGCTCAGTTGGTTGCGTGCATCCTGCAAAGCAGAAGTTTGCCAGTTGGCTGCCTGATCAGGGCAGATGCCTGGGTTGCAGGGTCGATCCCCAGTCAGGGCGCGTACAGGAGGCAACTGACGTTGCTGTCTCACATCGATGTTTCTCTCCCTCTCTCTCCCCGTTCCTTCCCCTCTCTCTAAAAGTAAATATTTAAAATCTTTTTAAAAAATTTTATCTTTGTCTTTTGGAGTTTGAAGGTGAAGTGCCTAGGTGTATATTTTAAGGTGTTCTTCTTACCTAATATCCTCTTCTCTAGGCTCCCTGCACCTGTGATTTGGTGTTTGTCAATGACTTTGGAAAATTCTCAGCTGTTATTACATCAAATATTCCTTCGCTTCCTCTTTTTTTCTCAATCTGATATTCCTATTAGACATAAATTACATCTTTTGTAGTTCTCCCATGTTTCTTGGGTAATGTTTCTTTCTTTTCCAGTCTTTTTTTTCCTCTTTGTTTTCCAGTTTGGTAAGTTTCTATTGATCAATCTTTCGACTCATGGGTTCTTTCCTTGGCTATGTCCAGGCTGCTGGTAAGCCAATCAAAGGCATTATTCATTGATTGTTTCTGATTTCTAAAATTTCTTTTTAATTTCTCAGCGTTTTTCTTTCTATTTGTATTATCCATGTGTTCCTGCTTGTTGTCCAAGTCTCTATAGTAGAGTCCTCACCTTAATACTATACTCCAATTCTAAAACCTCTATCAGATCTGAGCCTGGCTTTGGGCTTGCCTTCCTTGTCTCATCAGGCTGTTTCCTTGGCTCTTAGCATGCCTTGCAACTTTTTGTTGAAAGACAGACATGAGGTATTGGGTAAAGGAAACTGAGGTAAATAGACCTTTAGCTTATTTAGGTTTTATGTTTATTTGGCTATGTGTGAGCCTGTTTCTATTTGTTGTAGCTGTGGTGTTAGAGGCTCCAATTTTCTCTGTTGTCCTTGGTTGGTTTTGTCTGTGCTGTTCTCATAGGGTTTTCTATAGATTCTTTAAAGGGAGCTTGAGCCTTGCTGTTCTTTTCAGCTGTAATCCCCTGTGATTTAAAGCATCCTATTGAAGTGGTGGTAAAATATGAAGGGGAGAGTAAGAGATCTACAATCCTCTGGTTTAGTCTCAGTTTTTTAGTGAGCCTGTGCCCCTGAGCTATGACCTTCACAAAAGCTTCTCCGGGTTTTGTTTTTCTGGGTTTTTTTTCCCCCTCTAAGATAAAACAGGAAAGCTAGAGGAGCTGGAGTTGGGCATTTCCCTTCCCCCTCATTGTCTAGGTTCTGGTAAAAGTTTCCCTTGAGGGCAGGCCTTTGTTAAGGAGAATAGCGCTTTCTGAGCATGTTTCAAAATTGTTACTTTTCTCCTCCCTATTGGGAGGATTAATATTTTTCTTGGATTTTCACAGAAGGAACCTGGTGGGGCTCCTGGAAGGCAAACTGATGCAAGGGGGTAGAGGATCTTCCCAAAGCTAGGCCTCTAGGAGTTTTTAATCTCTGAACTCGTTTAGAGTCTCTAACAATTAGTCAATTCCCTGTAAATATTCTTACACAATGCTGGCTCCAGGGTGCAGTTTCTGCTTCCAGTAAGCTGTCATTCTCTGTAGATATCCGTCTCTCCAGCTTTTAGGGTAGTGGTTTATCTTGTGACCGCAACTCCCTCATGGACCTAAGCAGAATTGTTAATTCTGAGGTTTTCCGTTTTTTTTTTTTTCGTTGTAAAGATGGAAGTGATGATGTCCAAGCTCTTTACACATGCAACCAAAAACTAGAAGTCTCAATTACAATGTAGATGCCTGTCTTCCGTGTTTCTACAATAGAGTACATTTGACAATTTGAGGAGAGGAAATACAAATTATTTTGCACTCTAATTATGAAGTACACATATTTAAATAGATGATACATCAGCGATTTGGCAAACAATAAATATTGTGATTTTGCATTAATATTTGAAATTAAGTAAGTGCAAAACAGGTTTATATTCCAAAACCTATTACAGAATATGTAGCCTGCAACCTTGTTTTCTGTCATTTTAGAAAATCACATAAAACCCAAGAGATTACACCCCCATGATTTCCACCAATTTCTACTTAGTGGCACCCCTGCTTATTTTTATACATACAATACCAACTCGCATGCGCCTAAGGCTTTATAGTTTACTGTGTATTTTAACTCCTCTCATTTGATATAACGTTTGCAAGCACTTGGTGAAGGAGGCAGGACTGGAACCATGCTACGGATGGGACCTGGGCACTTAAGCAAGTCGCCTGAGATCACAGAACTATCAAGTGCTGGCTGAGAATTCCAAGCCAGGTCTCAACGCTCTAACGTTGGTTAGACCGGCAGGTAGAAAGCTGAACTGAGCCTTTCCCCAAATAAACTCACCAACACAGCAGCAATTACTAAACAAATAAATTACTAATCAACAAGATCTGCCAGCAAAAGAGCAAATAATATTTGCATTATAAATTTTTAAAAAATTTGCTCTAGATAGAGAGTCAATCATTTTAGAGCTAGGAAATTTGGAGATATTTGTCTCTCTACAGAATTTTGGGTATATTAAGCTTTTGGAATACATTATGCACCTTGGAACTTCATTGTTTTTTCAGAAACACTGACTTTCATTTATGTGACTTTAAGCTTGCTGATTTTTAGCGTGACTTTTCCCCTTTCAGTGGGGTCTCCCCAGTTACAAAAGTGGAGCCCTCAAGAGCTGGTGACTGGAGCCTTGAATCATCAAATGGGGCCACCCACTTCTCACACCGCTGTCCTGAGAAAAAACCCACCACAATGCCAAAATGCAGTTACCTTTCAGCTTTATCCCAAGGGGCCGACAGTCATCTATAGTCATGCACAGGGCAACTATGTGTGGAGGAAAGGGGAAAACCGAGACTTTTCAGGAATACTCAACTATGGCTCTGAGTTGACTCTTTTCCTGGGGACCTGAAAAGCCACTTGGATTCACCTGTCAGGGTGTGGATGATGGGGCTATTGTTTTGGCCCAAGTTAACTTCAGAGCCAATCGCCTGCTGTGGTCTGTTCATGTCAAAGGTTATGTTCTGAAAATCCCCTTTGAAGTTTAATGTATTTATAGAAGTTGGGTACTTTGTTTCTGGGGCAGGCCAATGAAATAAGTAACAAAATACTTCTAACATGGTGCTAAGAATTTAAACTATAGCAGGCCTCTTTTATCTTGCTGAGTCATTGAACCTATTTGTGAATAAGCAAAGAAATCCTACCCAAGCTCAGGGAAAATACTGCACCCTTAGAGCTGGTTCTTTTGGACGTGAGCAGAAGCAGTTTTCTGAAACCCCAGTAGGATCCATCGTTTCCACTTCAGCGGCGCCTTTATGTCAATGTGAATGGTGAAATGATTTGCTTTTGCATATGTAGAGGAATTAAGGTTTTTAAAAAAGTGAATTTTACTGGTTATGCTATTACAGTTGTCCCATTTTTTCCCCTTTGTCCCCTCCACCTGGTACCCCATTCATTCCCTCCAGCATTCCCACCCTTAGTTCATGTCCATGGGCCATACAAATGAGTTCTTTGGCTTCTCCATTTCCTGTACTATTCCTAACCTTCCCCTATTTTGTACGCACTATTTATGTTTATGCCGTGTTTTTTCCCACTATTCTCCCCACTCCCCCTCCCCGCTGAAAACCCCCCATGAGATCTCCATTTCTGCGATCCTCTTCCCATCCTAGCTGTTTGCTAGTTGCAGCATGATTTATGTCATAAAGGAGGGAAAGCCGAATGTTTGTTTTCCCCACACTGCAAGTGAAACCCTTCTGAAACTGCCCCATCTTGTGTTCATTTTAACACAGGCTCTATGAACATACTCGAGATCTCAGTCTTTTCCTCTTCAACGATGCACTGCTTGTTTCTAGTCGAGGCACATCTCATACGCCATTTGAAAGGACTTCAAAATCAACCTACCAGTTCATTGCATCTGTGGCTCTTCATAGGTTACTTGTAGAAGATATTCCCGATTCCAAATGTATGTAATTCTTCTACTTCCCAGTTAAATATCCTTTGAAAGCTTTATTATGCAAAGTTCATTTACTGTGAATATAGAATAGGAAAAGGACTGGAATTGTAATTTGCAGTTTGCAAATTATTCCCTAAATATTTTAAGAATTCGGTTAGTGCCCACTTTCATCTCCCTGGAAGAAAAGAAAAGAATGCTGGCATCGTCAGGCACACACCCTGGACCTTAGGAAGTTTGAAAATTCCCAAAGGGAGGCACGACCCATGTCATCACGACAGAGTCCTTGAGGCAGTTCCACAGGAGGGCTGGGGCCCATAGCGACTGCTCTATGCGGCTGGGATGTTACAGTTTTAGACTTTTTATCTATTGCTTTTTCATTCTGTTAGGGCTCTATCCTGCCTGTAGATGTTACTATTTTAGATTTCCTGTTTCCATTTCACTAGGACTGACTATTACAGAGCCGACTATACCTTTCCTTAAATTCATATTTGGGAGTAATGGAGAAACAAGATCAACAGATTTGCAAAGGATGTTTAGCAACAAACATTTCATTAGTAATAATCTCAATAGAAATACCATGTTATAAAAAAAAATTCCAACTTAAAACCTAACCCTACTGTGCCTATTTTTAGTTATTCTACATTCTACTTCCCAAGCTGAAAAGGCTCCTTATCTCTTTCTTCTCTTTGTTAGGCCAGGAAACTTGAATGGAGTGCTCTCATTCCAGTATTTCTCATTATATGTAAAGGCAGGACTTGAGAAAATATCTAGAAAGGATAGCTTTTCATTAGCTCCAGCCCCATTTTAGATGTGAGCCAGAGGAAAAAAATGAAAACCAAGTGTGGGAATAAATATTTCCATCTAGGAGACAAACTCAGATAAAATGGGCTAGTTACCAATAATCACTGGGTATGTTTAAAAGTGTATGACTCCCTTAACCAACTATGCTCTATATTAAAATACTGTCATGTAACCTAATAGATAGTGGTCATTCAGCTAAGTAGTTCGTGTAGTTCTCTCATTGGCGCTCAAACCAAAGTTGCCTAAGTCTAGCTCTCAGCATCTCTGTAACTCTTAGTGAAGACCTTTACTGGTTTCAGGTCTTTCTGGAGTGGCTAAGGCAAGGAATTAAAGAACATTAAATCAGCCCTGGCTAATGTGGCTCCGTGGTTTGAGCGCTGGCCTGGGAACAGAAAGGTTGCTTGGTTTGAGTCCCCATCAGGGCACATGATGTTTCTCTTTTTCTTCCTCCCTCCATTCCCCTCTCCCCAAAAATAAACACAATAAAAAAGATTAAATCACCCATCATTTAATCTTTAAATACAACTGCTAATTATAATTAATTATAATATAAATACTGTTATTTTCATTATATATTTGAATTATGCAGTAATTTTAGCAAGTTATATTCTAAAATGGATTTGTATTTGAATTTCTCTTTTAGTATTTGAAAAATTCTTAAAGAAGACTTGGTCAATTCTTGAATCCTACAACATTTCCTCATTTTGATTGTTACCTGCAAAGATTAATTAGCGTACTTTAAATATTTTTACAGATATCAAGAATGCATTTATTCTTCAAGGTCCAAAGCATGAATGGATTTGTGCCACAGAAGCGGAGGATGACAAGTTCCTATGGTTATCAGTACTCCAAAATGCAATCAAAAGTACTATGCAGAAGTGAGGCTGGATTGGAAAAAAAAAAAAAAAAATCAGGGCTGCCAATTCTCCCTGGCAAAAGAGACAACATGTATTTTCTGTTCCATGTTGAGTTACACGAGAGGATGAACTAGGATGGCCCAAAAGGTTCTGCTTAACTTGTAAACTTTATCATCTCTGCTCAATTATCTGAAGTATACAATAAGAACAAATTGAATCCAAGATTTTGAGCCACTTCTTTTGGCAGTTATTTTTCATGGACAGTATTAGAATTACCTGAATGACAAAATGTAAGACAGAACAAGCATATTATGAATTTAAAGTTTTGTTTTATGATCTAATAAAAAATAAAATCACAATGAAAAGAGTTTCTTAAATGATCAGCCTGGAGAACTATTTTAATTTGTTGGCAGTTTACCAATCATCTTTCACATTTTCATGAAATGATTATTGATTTAAAAATATGTATAGAAAATATATATGGCAATTTACTTTAAACTTGTCACATATATCCTTAATATGAATTTACTCTTCCAAATAGTATTAAAAATATACCACTACAAAGTACTAAAAAGTTTTCTGTAATTTTTAAGTGTCCTTTGATTGCAAAATAAAATTCTTAAGACCTTCCAAATAAGCTTTAAAAATTTGTGACACTGTTAAATTAGACTATTGAAAAAATTTTAAAAAATTAAAAAATAAGTGGAAGCCTACATGTACTGAAACTTACCTATAATGGAATTTAGTTAAATAAAAATAAAGAAATTAAGACAAATCTCTTTCAAAGCAAAGAATCAGCAAACTAGGTGTTGAGTAGTTTTCTGGCCCATTCTTTAAAGTCTTCATTTAATTATTTAATAAACTGAAACCATAACCTATTAGCTACTTGGAAACTTTAGCTGATGTATGTAGTAATAATATTTTTATTTACTTAATGGTAGGTAAAAGTCATATTAATCTAGGAAGCTTTTTGTTGTCAACTTCCTTTTTGCTTCATATTCTCCTCTAACATAATAAAATCTAATAGTACACTGCAGGATTGCAAACTAGGCTATTTTAAACATTTTCTTTATTCAACCATGAAAATATAATTTCTTCTAATTTGTAAAATTTTAAATTGTTAAAAACTGTAAAAAACTTAAAATATTGCTTTATTAGTGTAAAATCACTTTTGATGCTGTTATATTTACATAACTTAACATCTATGACCCCAAAGACAGAATAAACTACAAATTTTAAAGTTTGATCAAAATGTATATATATATATCATATGGTCTAAAATAAATGCTGTTATATTTACATAACTTAACATCTATGACCCAAAAGACAGAATAAACTACAAATGTTAAAGTTTGATCAAAATGTGTGTGTGTGTGTATATCTCTCTCTCTCTCTCTCTCTCTCTCTCTCTCTCTCTCTCTCTCTCTCTCTGATATGGTCTAAAATAAATCCTAAGACGGTATATGACCCTGAATGCGGCACACCTCAGAAACTCTATTAATGGAAAACCCTGCTCACATGGCAAAAGAATGAGCGACAAGATAGTTCAAGGTAAACTAGAAATCCTAAGGAATTTCCATTCATTCTGTGAATAACTAATGTCCTCTTAAGTTTTAAAACATATTACTTGAAAATAATCTCTGTAGAGACTGAAGAGTATAAGCTTTTAATTGAGAGTTAAGTGTACAAATCATGTAAAAAGCAGTGATGTTTTCAAGTGGATGATACTTACATTGCTTGTGGTTCAACACTTTCCCTTCACTTTTAGGGTACAATTAAGAACAGTCTATCTTCATAGCTATTTTATAAGTTTTCTGCTGAATTAAAATCTCACACCAACCCTGGCTGGCTCAGTGGATTGGGCGCTGGCCTGTGAACAAAAGGGTCACCGGTTTGATTCCCCATCGAGGGCACATGCATGGGCTGCGGCAAGTCCCAAGCAGGAGGTGCGGGAGAGGCAACGGCACACTGATGCTTCTCTCCCTCTTTCTCCCTCCCTCCCCATCTCTCAAAATAAATAAAGTCTTTAAAAAAAAATCTTACACGAAAATAATTTAAGTCACTGGTGAACCTGGTCAAATTTTCAGAAGGAAAATATAGAAGTGACATGGAAAACGGAAAGCACCACATGACCCCAGAAGAATGCTGAGCACTGCAGCGCTTGTGGTCAAAGAACGCCTTATCCCGCGCGGTTCTTTCACATGCAGAAATTTAACAGGAAACTCACTTTAAAGATTTTTATAAGACAAATATAGATTCTTTATGTGAAACATTTAATGTACTCGATTTTGTCTCCTTTTGCAAAATATGCTTGAGATGCAAAGAGGAGCCCATTCTGTAAGTCAAATCAGTGTGCAGTTTTGGCCACATAAGCATAATGGACCAGTACTGATGCTTGGGAATAACAAGGATGGGCTGTGCCAACAAACACAACATACTCTCCAGAAAAAGTCATCCTGACCCTTTTATTGTTGAAATTAAAAAATAAAAGATACTTAAATACAATGGTGAACATAGAGGGCAAAACAGAATCATAAAATTTAACGTTGAATTAAGCAGTGAGCTGAATGTTTGGGTCTCCAAATTGGCTTGACCCCAAAACTGCTTAAAAATGGGTATGTTCACAGTTAACGGCAATTGGCTTATAGGTGAGAGAATGGTCGCAGTTGTTCCAGTTGAACTTCCAGGGAAATTCTCTCCTCAAGAACATCCTGAAAAAGATGCAAAGCCAAGTTATGTTTCAACATGCATAAAAATGAAGGTACATCTAACAACAGCTCTGCATCAAAAAAAAACAATTTAAATTTGTTAAGACGAAGGGACAGGTGTTCATTTTTTTAAAAAGATATTTCACATGAAGAAGTAATGTTTCTTTATGTATGTAATATTAAAATATGCTATTAAAATATTTTTCTTATTACATAAATCAGGATAATAAGATGTTTTTGTTTAATAATTAGAAAAGCTAGTATTTCAAGCAATGGCTACCACGCATGAATCCTGCATGGCGCACACCCCCTGCAGTGACTGCGGATGAGCTGGTTAACACGCACTCTTTCCCCTGGTGATTGCATCTGGTCGTAGCAACTCCCAACCCTCATGTGAGTTTCAGTTTCACAAAGAATAAATTTATTTTGCAATCAGAATTTCTAATCACTGTTGATTTTGAGCAATCTTTTCAGATTGTCAGCAAATTCTAATTTATCTACTTTCTTTTTCCCCCCCTTCTATCATACTGATAGTATCGTATTTTAACCAGAACTACCTCTTCCCATTTGGTACCACACTTCCTATTTTCTGTTCTCAGAGATGAGAAAAGTGATTCTTAAAATGGCTTCTATATACGTTTCTATGATTTTTAGTTCTTCAGAAAAACACCCATTAATAAAATTTTCTTCTCTAGTACAGTATTAGCAGCTTGTCCTTAATTTTATATTCTTCCTTTGCAACAAACCAAATTTATGATCATAGAACTAGAAATATCTTCTTTGATGAAAGAATTCTACAAGAATATCATTCATTCAACAGACATTTATCAAATGTCTAATGTGATATTGTGATTTATAGGAAAATATACATTGATCATTCAGATGACCAAACTATACCCCTTATATATGTTTGGCCTTCATCCACAGTTCCTGGCTCATAGCTCCCCAAAACCCTAGGAATTTCTCAAGCATTTGAGGGATGGGGGAGAAGGTGTCTTTTGTTGTGTCAATAAAAATGACTTTTGGAAAGCACCTAAGGCTGGCTGCCAGGAGAACCAACCAAGTGATTAGAAGGCTGGAACTCTCGGTCCCACCCCTGGACTGAAGGTTGAATCAACAGCCAGTGGCCAATGATTTAATCAACTCTGCCTGATTGAAGCTCCTGTAAAAACCAAAGGACAGTGTATGGAGAACTTCTGGGCTGGTGAGCACATGGAGGTATGGAGAAGAGTGCCGCCATGGAAGCCCCAGGCCCCTTCCCATACACGTCCTATGCACTGATCTTCCATCTGGCTATTCCTGAGCTATGTAACTTTTCATAAACCAGTGTTCTAGTGAGGGGTGTGTTTCTCTGCATTCCGTGAGCCTTTCTAGCAAATTAATCAACCAAGGAGAGGGTACCGGTAACAACTTGAACTTCTTATTGGCATGGGGTGGGGGTGTGGGGTGTGGGGGGGTGGGGTGTGTGTGTGTGTGTGTGTGTGTGTGTGTGTGTGTGTGTGTGTGTGTTGGGTGGGGGCGGTCAATGCTTTGGCAGGTTGGTCAGGAGCTCTTAACCTGTGGAATCTAATGTTATCTCCAAGCAGACTGTCAGAATTGTTTGTTAGTGGGGGGGAACCCTTCTGAATGTTGGAATTGGGTCTGGGAGCCTGAAAGACCTAACGTGCTAGGTTTAGGGGATAGAGACAAGCTGGTTACAAGTTTACCTAGGACAGTTCCAGTTTACCTCTGATGTCCTGGCCTAGGTACTAACACATCCCTTCCTCCTTTGTCTCAAAAGTTTCTTGGGGTGGACATAAGTTACATGGTCGCCCTAAGCAGAAATGATTATGATTTACCCTCAATGAGCTCAGCTTAGTAGGGCAGAGACAAATGTGCCACAGATATGAACTGCAGGACAGCATGGTAAATGCTGGATATGAACAAAATGTTGTGGAAATGAACTAGCTCTGTATTCATTTTACACTCTGCAGATTCATTTCTACTCATCTTTGTGGTTCACAACCTTGCTACTCAAAGTGGGGGCCAACAGTCTAGCAGCACCTCCAATACCTGAAAGCTCATGAGAAATGCAGAATTCTCAGGGTCCAACACACTGAGGTTGAGAACCACTGGTTTATAAGATATGAATGCTTAATAATGTTAAGCCATAAGTGATTCTGGTTGTTAATTTTTATTCATAGGAATTAAAAGGAATCATGGCAAGAGGAAGTAAGAAAAACAAATCCATGCCTCTCAAGTATAGATAGATGACAGAAGTACACACAAGCCCTAAGCACCACTTCTATTTAAGGCTTGTCTTTTCCCTTCCACATGC